ACTTGCGGGTCACCTTGTCAGGAAGGGCGGGTTCATCTGCCCGCCCCTCGGAATCCTGTTTTCCCTCGAAAACAGGATTCCGAGGGGCGGGCAGATGAACCCGCCCCTCTCTGAGAGGCGGGTTCGATTGCACGCCCCTTTTGGAGGGGCGGGGGCGTGGGCGTGCGGGGAAGGGGGAGGCGTGCGTTTATCAACGCCCTTAGAATTGTTATACAAGTCAACCCAAATGTTGACACTAGACTGGAAGACTGGGATCCACAAGAAGAGAAATAGGAGTCTGGGAAGTGATCAGTTAGATTTTTTGATTTTGCTATTTGATAGACAATAGCCACTTACTTCTCAATTTCATCATCCGGATTGTAATAAAAATTTTCTATTTCAGTGACAATGTTGTTGATGATTGGCCGGTTATGCTGCTTCATCATTTGGGACCACAAGGATTCAATCTTTTGATTCCGAGTCGATTTGGTGAAGTGCATCCTTTTGGGGGGCTTGATAACGACACACCCTCCCCCCTCGCACACGCACGCCCACACGCCAATTTTTTTTGGCGTGTGGGTGCACACGCCAATTTTTTTTGGCGTGTGGGTGCACACGCCTTGCGGATCCTGTCGTGTCCCTGCACACGCCAGGGATCCACAGGTCCCAAACCCTGTTGGCTGGCGTGTGCAGGAACACGCTAGCGGACCTCGCTCCAGCTTATCAGGAGGGTTTCCTCCCGATGAGCTGCTATGAATTTATAGTCATTGGGCGCTCACAGCCTTGTTTTTTTTGTTTTATTTTCTGGATTCTCCGCCGCCGTCTCATAGGACCCATGCCTGGGTCCTATGGGACGGCGGCGCTCCTAAACACATATGCCTGTGGCGTGCAGGCCTGCACGCCGGTCTACACTCTGTAGATTGGCGTGCTGGCCCACACGCCAATTTGCTTTCAATGGGGGCTGGCGTGCGTTTATCAACGCCCTCCTTTTGGTAGCTTCCTCCGCATTTATTCCTCCAAAACGGTATGAAAGCCACATCTGGTATGTTGCCATCTCAACTGTTTCAGTACCATAGTCACTAGTCACCTTCAGTGGGAGTCCACCTGTTGTGGATGCGAGATGAAGGAAGTATAGTCCAACATGGTGTGGATTGTTGTTAGTTGTGTGGACAAACATCCCAAGTATCTTCCTGGACCAGGTGTCGACAAAGCCATATACGCAGATTCCATAGGGCTTCAGCTTATCATGTCCATCACATGCCCATATGTGATTGGGTCCATAGGTTCGATAAATCCGGTGTTTGAATCCTTGGCGGAGCCGTGGAGCCATCCCAATGGGGTCTAATTCCTTGAGAACATCATAAACAAGTTGCCTGAATGAAATATTAAATTGAGCACCGGTCCAAGCACCATGATCAGATTAGCCTCATGTGAGAACTTACCTGGGGATTCGTATATTATATTGCCTCATCAGGAGGACTCGCATACGGCGATAGCCAGTATTATTGTGGAGTAGACTTGTGCGTGCATGATTGACAGCTTCAAAAATGTCATCCATGGAAACCTTACCAGCCTCCAGATCATTGACAAGGAGTTTCAGTTGCAGTGTTTGTAAGTACCGCTTGACTGTTTGGATACATACTATCACCCCGGTCTCTTGAGCCAATCTTGCTTGGATCTCCTCAAGGTTCAGACCTTTACTGTGTGAAGACAACAGGCTGGCACGTATTGGGGGTTCCAAGGGCTTTGAGATGCGGGGCTGTGGAAGGTCAACCCGCTGGAGTTCCCATTCTGCTTGTCTTCGACCAAGTGTTTGATAAGACATTGATATACCATGTTCTTCTTTGAGGATCTTCACAATTTTTGGTCCTTTGTGCCCTTCAAGGAGGAGTTTCTTCACAAGATACTTCGTGAGTTCTTCTGGGTTGTTACTGTCTACGGGCTCATCAATTTCTGATTGTTCATGTGTTGCAACGGATTCATCATCAGAGCCTGATTCTTCAGTATAATCGGAGTTGAGAGGATCCTCATTTGATTCATGGTTGATGAAAGATTCATCCTCATCAACAGGAAATGATTCATCTTCACTGGATCTTACTTCGGTTGTTTTGATTTCATGTTGTTCATCACGAAAATAAGATTGTGAATTATGATGGGATATATTTGATTGATTCAAAGATGATTCAAAATTTTGAGAAGATTCTTCTGAACTACTAGAACTTGATATCTTGTTGAGAATATATCTTCTGAACTTCCAGGAAGGCCAGTCATCAGGTTGACGAGTTAAACCGTGGTCTTCATAATCTGCAGGCATCCTAGTGAATTCAAGAATCATTTGGATTTGAGTGGACTGTGTTTTGAGTCAATCGAGGGGTTTAGCTTTCAGGCAACTGATCCACTTGGTTTGGAGTGGAATAGAACCCAGGGTTTACACCAGGGTTAAATAAATTGAAAAAGCATTGGTGTTTGTGGTGGGTTTCAGAATCTGAAAATTGATTCGAGGCCTGCCTGTGGTTGTAAAAGTGCAAAATTTTTGATTTTACTATCATTGAGAAACTCGCTCAAACTCATAGAAACAGGAAATAATACCCTGAAAGGTAATAGCTTAGAAAAAATTGGGCTCTCTTGAATTAATCAACATTTCTGTACTTTGCAAAGTTCACAATTATATGCAGGTAAACATAGAACTGAGTTGTCTATTGATTGATCTCCCATCCGTGGCCAAATGTAAGTAATTCATCCGATGATTGCATTTGGAATCATTCATTTTCCACATCCATGAATGGTGGCTGAATTTAACTAGAAAGGAGTCAACATCAGTATTTTAAAGGCTCTATGCTGAAACTGTGATTGCAAACTTACTTCGACAACCATGGCCTCATTGTACCTGTCCCACCCAGCTAGAACTCCTATGAATATGCCATGTTGACCACATTTTAGTGAAATCAGGAATTTCTCACTGCACCAGCTTTGTTGAACCATGTATTTGACCGTAATGGATTTGTCCCCAAATGGCTAAGGATCAAATAATGACTTGAGCTAAAGGGCAATGAGTGATTAACTTGGGAGTTTGACTTGCACAACTCACAGTAGATCTTTCTACCTCATGGCATACAAATATGCTCAAGCCCTCCGCTTTGGATTCCAATTTCGCTATAATAGTACCAGCTCCGGTAACTGTGACTACTTCGGGTTGACTTGATGCACCTATTACTGGAGGGGAGTCGACTTGAAGGCATTGGAGAAATGGCATTTCATGACGCCTACATCCTACAAATTTTCCTTGCAACCAGTAACCCACCCTGAAAATCAACTTTTTGATATAATCTGGATTGTAAACAAGTCGTATGTTTCTGTGACTCCCAAACCAGCCAAAGGTTTTAGGGGTTCGACTCCCAAAATTTGGGGATTCCGGGGCTTGGGAGTTGGCTCTTCACTTTTTGGGAGCCGTTAAACAAGCCCCTTTTTTTAAAAATACAAAATCAAGTGAAGAGGGTAGCTGAGAGGTGGGGGATAATGATTATGAAATTAAATATATATGTATAAACCAAAAAATCAATATTTGATTGGCCCACCAGAGGCCTCCACAACCAGGCACATTTGGTTGGGCATTGACTTGATGAGGCTTTTGAGGTGATCCACTGGGATGTTGTCCAACCTTGTTGGATGGCCTCCTTCATTTTGTTGAGGGACTGAGTCCGAGCCTGTGAAACGATCAAAGAGACCATTGTTTGTCCAGAGCCCACTATCCTCGCGACTTGCCCATGAGACATGCCGGCGATGTGAGCCTTCTGCTTGGTTGTGAGGTTGGGCTGTCCTCGGATACGTCCCATCAAAACGATCCTGTCCCAAAACAAAGCAAAAATCAGAAAAAAAAAAAAAAAAAAAACAGTAGAAATTAGAGATGGTCAAAGGGTATCCGTCGCGGATACCCGCTATCCGCTGGCGGATACCCGCCAGTGCCAACGGATACCCGCCAACGGGTGCGGATGGCCCCTTTTCCGCTAAAAGTTGGCGGGTATCCGGGTATCCCAAAGGATACCCGTGGCCGGAAGGGGAAATGGCCGGCTGGAAGGAGACCCTTCCAGCCGGCAAGGTACAAGTACCTCGTCGACTGGAAGGGCTTCCTTCCAGCCGGCGAGGTAGCCGGCTGGAAGGAAGCCCTTCCGGTCGACGAGGTACAAGTGCCTTGTCGACTGGAAGGACACCCTTCCAGTCGTCGAGGTACTTGTACCTCGACGGCTGGAAGGAAGCCCTTCCAGCCGGCCCTTTAGAGGGCGGGTATCCGAGGATACCCGCTGCGGCCGACGGATACCCGCCAGCGGGTGCGGATGTGGATGCGGATGCACAGATGGCCGGAAAAAGAAGCCGGATATCCGCATCCGCGCGGATATCCGGATGCCAATCGACCATCTCTAGTAGAAATACAGACTAATGTCTGATTCCAATCAAATTCATCCTGAGGCCAAGATCAACCAAGTTTGTTCCAGGTCGATTGAAGTTGTTCCAAGATAAATTGTTGATGATTGAGGTTCTGTGATCAATCGTTGATGATCGAGGTGAGGTTCTGTGATCAATCGTTGATGATTGAGGTTCTGTGATTGGTTGTTGGCCCGCAATGAAGAGATCAACTTGCACCCGCACACTGCAGTTTAGTGCGCGGGTGCAAGTCAACTTGCGACAGTTCACCCCCAGACATAAACATCTGGGTGGATACTGTACATTCCACATCTTGCAATCTACCATCAAGAACCAGAACCCAGAAGATCACTTCCTGCTCTCCCCAGAACACCCAAAACACTGCACGGCGAAAGGGGTTGTATTGGTTACAACCCCCCTCGATAACGTCGCCCGAGGCGACCAATATAACATTGGTCTCCTTGACCGATTTCATATTGGCCAGGCCCACCGATACATTTTTCCTTTTTTCTAATGTATCGGTGGGCCCGACTGATATAAAATCAGTCAATCAGACCGATCTTATATCGGTCGCCTCCGGGCAACCTTATTGCGGGGGGTTGTAACCAATACAACCCCTTTTGCCGTGCTGGTATTTATTTCTTTTCAAAATTTTCACTTATTATCATTCCTCCAGCATACCCTACTCCAATTTCCAATTTTTTTTTTTTTCATTTGGAGCAATTTCAAAACTTCTGAAAAAAGTGCAATAACTGTAATCTTTTTTGCAAACTTTAGAAATTAATTTTTCATATTTTTGTTTCCAGTATAATCTTTTGAAACCTATTTTATACCACTTGCCTAAGTCTCATGAATTCAAGTTGGTGGGTTGGGGATGTGTAGTCCAAACAAACTGGCTATACATAAACATCTGGGAGGTGACTGCATAATTACCAAGATACCCCGGGTGGTGGGCTTTGTGAAAGGCGGGTGGTCCCCCGCTCAGTATGTATTCCTGCCCGAACTTGAGGTCATGATCGGTGCAAATTCCTGGCGTGTGAAGTCCATCCCCAACAACTCATCTTTAGACTTTTCCAGTTGTCTTGGGGTCATGTCGACTGGACAGACCGCAACCGAAACAGGAGAGCCAACAAGCTCAGAAGAGTTGACCCTGTTATTGCTTTCAGACTCGAGCTTGCCGGTCGGCGGATTCGTTTCTTCCTCTGGCCTCGAATCTTTCACCAACCATGGTTATCTGGCCCACTGCAAAACCGATCTTGCCCGCTCACACGCACTCGTCACTTTCACCTTCTCGAACGCCCAGAGCTATGCCAACCTGTGTGCGGCCTTCTTCTATCACATTCATGCTCTCATCACCGATACCTTGAGCTCGAAATCAGATCAACAGCTACCCAATCAGCCCCATACTTCTGTCGAGGAGGAGGAGCAGCGGGACGAACAAAGATTGCAACGGATCGCCGAGGTGGTTCACAAGCTTAATCAGCTGTTCGATTCTATGTGTCTGTCGCCGGTCAATCGTCGCAACAGTTACGCTCAAGGTGCTGCCTTTTTGCTCTTGTACAGCAAATCATTCGGTCCATCTCCCGGCACTACTACGGCTCTGGAACGCCTCAAATCGAGGCTGATCGACTCGCTCAAACGCGAAATTAGACGCGGAAACTGGTCCATCCATTATCCAATTAGCTTTGCTTTTGTCACCGGCCTTCTCCAGCTCTCGTTTGGTAAGTCCCTGGGCTCCCTAAACGACTCTTGGACCAAATGTAAGGCCCAAAAAGGCAAGAATTGTATCTGACTGGATTTTGTTCTTTCATTAGATCGGGCGATACATCTTCACATCTTTCTACACATCCGATCGATCTTATCAGCGGCGGTACGATTGAACATTATTGGCCCCTATCTCTCGCAGAAGATCATGTTTACCCACATGAAATCGATGCTAGAAACGATCAACGAGGAGATCAAGACGAAGAGGCTAGCCCGAAGCGACCTCATCGAATGTGGTCTCGATCCCGGAGAATACGACTCCGAGGAGACCCAGAAAGTCGAGGATGGGCCGGCAACAAGTTGGCCGTTCGGTGAAATTATCCAAACCCGACACGACTCTTGTCATGTGCGATTGTTCAACTCTTAGTAGAGAGGTACTTGATTCAACGTTTTTCCTCCAATTCTTTGCCCTAATTTTTTCCTCTGCTCTGGAGATTCAACATTTGTGAGTTGAATTTTGAGCTTGTGTTTAATGTAGCAGACAAATGCGAGCTAGCCATAATGAATTGAATGTGATATGTGTAGCTTGATGTTTAATTTTTTCAAGAAACAAAAATGAAGAAGCCTGTCCAATCAGGTGTGTCAGGCAAGGCAAAGTATGGTTATAACTTATAGCAGCCAGTGACAGTCCTGTAAGTCAAGCATATCCACATGATTGGCCTGATGGATAATACAAGGCAGGCTTCATTCCTTGAACTTTCCAGATGTAGATCTTTCTACAATACACTTCTCCTCAAGCAGATACTCCACATGGGCTGGGCTGGTGACCACCAATGTTTGGTACCATTGTTGGTCAGCAAAATTTTAATTTGAGACTTTCTAGTGATTTCTGAACAATTATGTAAATAGAACAACTAGTGAAGACTTTTCAAAAACAAGATTAAGACAGAGTTAAACTAGATGAACTGGAAGGATGTCCAAGGGGCCCTTTCAGACTGTCAGATGGCTCTTGAGAACCAAAACAGCTCTTCTCATTCCTCATTCACCAACTTGATCATTCTACAAAGGTCAAGTCATGGGCTTGGTATTTATTGATGAACATCAAGCTGACCCATGGCTTGCTTCAAGAGCAAGATAGCAACTAATAACACAATGTGTGGAAATTCATGCATGTCTTGTTTTGTCTTTAGAGGCAGTGAAAGACTCTCAAGCTGACAATTGTGGATGTGTTTTTGTTTTGGTTTGTTTTGGTTATTGATGCTCACATGAATTTGTGTTGTAGGGTCAACCGTGTAATTAGTAATTATATATAGAGATGTCAGCAGGTACCCGTTTTCCAAAGCAGGTACCCGGAAACAGGTACTGGGTGCGGGTGCGGGTGTCAACATTTGCGGTAAAAACAGGTGCGGGTGCGGGTGTGGGTGTCAACATTTGTGGTAAAAAAAGGCAGGTACCCGGGTACCTGCCTTACACCCGCCCTGGGAATGCTTCCCCTGAAGAATTTAATTTATCATTGGTGGTCCAACACTGCCTTTTTTGGGTGTGTTGGGCTGCACAAAGGTGTCAGAAACCCATGTAGGACACCAGATGGTGTCTTACATGTGTTGCTGAACTAATCTGGTTGCTTTGTTGAGGCCGGAGGGTTCCCTCCGGCCTTTGAGATGGTGTACAGTCTTGATGACTGGAGGAATTCCTCCAGTCATAAAGACGGTGTACAGTCTTCATCAATGGACATTGAATAAGGCAAATGAGGCCAAGCAAAAGGGTAAAGCTAAAGATAGATCAGAGAGAAGATAAAATTCAAATTGGTGATAGAATAATTTGTTTTTCTTTATTTCTTTATTTTTGTTTTATTCTTACTCATATATCTAGTGAATATCAATCTTATATTTACCAAGTCATGCAGAAATTCAAGGGTGAGAATTCTGGGTATATTTGCCTGCAAAAATGTCCCAGGTACCCGCAGGTACCCGGCGCAGGTACCCGGGTACCCGCCCTGGCGGCCCTAGCAGGTGCGGGTGCGGGTGCGGGTGTCAAAAATATTGGATTTTTGAGGCAGGTACCCGCACCCGCTACAGGTACCCGGGTATTGAGCGACGTCTCTAATTATATATACTTCCTATCTCACCTCAGTTTACTTATTTGATTCATTCTCAGATTTTTTGACTGTGCCAGTTGGCATGCAGAAACTCTGAAGAAGTTTTGCTGAAAGATTTGAGAGAGATTTTTTGAATGGACTCAACTCAGCATTAATCCTTTTTGGGGAACTCAAGAGATTGTGCTGGAAGATTAAAGTGAGAATGGATGGTTTTTATTTACTGGTAGAGTCTATGCGTTAAAATAGACCTATAAACAATAAGTTCAATCTGTGGTTTTGAGAAAGAAATTGGATATCAAAATCAATTACAAGAATTAATGTATGTTTGAAAGGATGACTGGAGTAAATGTGAGTTGATAATTAAGACTAGACCAGGGTTTTGAAGACTACAAGGATTTCAGCACTAGATCACAACATGAGAAAATGCCATGCAGAAAAGAACAAAACAAAACACAGTACAAATTAGAGATGGCACCAAGCACTTGCTACTTGTTGGCAAGTACTCGTTGCCTTCCAACAAGTACTTGCCTACAGGTGCGGGTGCAAGTGCAGGTGTCTGAGATCTGAGAATTTTCATGCAAGTACTTGTACTTGTTGCAAGTGTGCACCTGCACACCTTTACTTCAGATGGCACTTGATGTGTTTTTTATCTAAATTATTAATATTATTTTGGTTGATTTTTTACCAAATTTCCCGCACATTCTGAAGCAACCACTGTTGATGTGGAGCAATCCTTTAGCTTTGGTAAGGAATATGCTTCTCTCAGGAGGCACAAGCTCAGTGCACAGTCTGTCACTAGGGGGATGAGTGTGGCATTTTACTCAAAAAACGGTAAGATCAAGAGGGGGATTTTGAGAAAATGGAAGGCAAATAAGAAGAATGAGAAGAAAGCAGCAGGGGAAGGCTGGAAGAAAATGAAGGGCTTATTATTACTATTTACAATCACTTAGTTCACTTAGTTTACAAATACCAATCTATGAAATGAAAACACAAGAAATTTATCACCTTTATCTCTCAAAATAAGCTTGCATACTTGCAAGTACTTGCCACAAGTATGCAAGTACTTGCTTTGTCCTGCCCCCACAAGTACAAGTAGAAGTATGGGTGTCTGAGACTCTGAGATCTGCGATTTTTCATGCAAGTACTTGTACTTTTTGCAAGTACGCAAGTATGAGGGGCCATCTCTAGTACAAATTAAATGGATTATTTTATCTAAACATCATTAATAAAAAAAGTGGGACAGATGAAGTTTTTTTAGGGATGAGAAGAAGGAGACAAGATTCCAACAAACTGTCTTCAAAGTTGGGTTGTTATTCAGATGTTACTCAACCAGTACTGCCTCAGAAATACTTCAATGCTCAGTCACTGTGCAGAAATTCATTTGTGCATAGAAATAGATTACAGTTTGACACAAGTTAGATAGGGAGTAACCTGGATGTCCACTGCCACCAGTTTGGTGAAATTTTTGTATGTAGTGTTTTTCATGTTTTTTTTTGTTGAAGTTTCATTCCCCAACAATCTTGATCAAATAACTAGAATCAGCTTCAATGTACAGTTGATGTATGGCTGAGTCTATTATAGGTTTCTTCTGGTTTGGTATATGGTTGAATGGTTTATAAGTTTGAATGATGTATCCATCAAATGATTAACAAAGTTGGAAATGTTTCTGAATTGGTTTAATTAATTTAGTTCCAATTGTTACTAATTAAGTAACGTTCACCAGCTTATACAAAAAAGTAATTTTACTGATGAATCAGAACTGAAGATTGAAAGCCATATCAATTGTTGCCTTGCCCATTGTTCTTTGAGTTGGTGGGATGAATTTGATCGGAGTGATGATGATGCTGATGTTGATTAGGCTCTCTTCTGAAGCCTACTGAATTATTATCTGGCGAGGTGGGATAAATTTAATCTGATGCTCCATGGTGGATGGCTGGGTTGATGATGATCGGCAACTATCAATAAATGTTAAAGTCCCATCGATACGAGATTGCAGGAAAGAGTTCCTCCCCCTCTCCCCCAACCTAAAACTGACAGGCAGATGGGTTTTTGTTCAGTTTGCGAGCTTCCGCTGCAGCTGCGATTTGAGAGTGTGTTATTTGGGTGGCTGTAGAAAAAAAAAAAAGAGAGAGAAACAGCTTGGATCCGAGGAACCGAGAGAGAGAGCTTTCACCGATTTCAATCAAACCCGCCGCCGGGGCCACCAACCAGTAGGACACACAGCCCACTAAAACAACAAAAACCAAAGACAAAAACTAAAAAAACAAAACTAAAAAACAAAAACAAAAACAAAAAAGCACAATCGAAAACTCAACCGAGAGGACTTTTCCTGCCGAGTGAATACCCACAACACACCACCACCAAAAAAAAACCAACTCCTCTCCCACTCACTCAGCTTTGAGTCCCACTTAGAAAAAAAAACCAAAAAACCAAAAACCAACCAAAAAAAAAACCAACCTCCCTCAGTACAACTCCCCCCTCCCTTCTCCTCTCTCTCTCTCTTTCTCTAACTCGCTCCGAACGAACTAACCAACACCAACACTCCCTCCCCCCCAGCACAACCCACTGACTACCTCCCTCTCCCTCTCCCACTCTACCAATCACCTCAACTCAACCAACTAACAACCAAACAAACTCCAACAAGCCCTTATCTTAATACACCCATGGCTGATCAAGGCGGTCAAGATATCGATCTAGACTCAGTTATCGATCGACTCCTCGAAGGTACTCGTTCCTGCTCCGTACCCGTTTCCTACTCACTTTGCTCTCCTTCTCAGACACACACACTTCACTTCTCTATCTCTCTCTCTCTCTTTCTTCTCTACTAAAACCAAAAGCACTCACATCGAGCTCTCTCAACAAAAAATAAAATGAAATGAAAAAGAACCCACATGACAACAGAGACAAGTGTTTGGTTATCATCTGTTTTAAGATTCTTATACTTCGATCGAGAGAAATCAGACCACTGATCCAACTACCTTATCTGACACTACCCTCTCTCCCTCTCCCTCTTCATCTGCTTCTACCTACATCCAGTCAGGGGAAATCGACCGGGTAAACAAGTCCAACTACAAGAATACGAAATCAAGTTTCTATGTACTCGGGCCAGAGAGATCTTCATCAATCAACCTATCTTACTTGAACTAGAAGCACCCATCAAGATCTGTGGTAAGTCCCTCTTCATCTGCAATCTCCTACCCCCTCTCACCAAAAAAAAGAATCGGCCGAGATGTTGACGGTCCGAGCTGTTGAATCATCATCTCAGGTGATATCCATGGCCAGTATTACGATCTGTTGAGGTTATTCGAGTATGGTGGATTCCCACCTGAAGCCAACTATCTGTTCTTGGGAGACTACGTCGATCGTGGAAAACAGTCGCTAGAAACTATCTGCTTGTTACTGGCCTACAAGATCAAGTATCCCGAAAACTTTTTCATCCTAAGAGGCAACCACGAGTGCGCTAGTATCAATCGGATATATGGCTTCTATGATGAATGTACGACTCTCTCTCTCCCTCTCGCTGTTTATCTCTTGTCGATCTGCATCGATCCTCTATCGGGGCAGGTTGAGCTGACTTGTTTGCGAGACTGTATCCCCCCCCCCTTTTTTTTTTCTTCTCTCTTCGATCCGACTCGGTCGCGTGTGTTTGATTTGACTCTTCCATCTATCCCATCTTCGGCCGTCACAATCTCCGCTTCCCTCCTTCGGGGTTCGTCAGGCAAACGGCGTTATAACATCAAGCTCTGGAAAACGTTCACCGATTGCTTTAATTGTCTTCCGATCGCCGCTATCATCGATGAGAAGATCTTCACCATGCACGGTGGTCTGAGTCCCGACTTACAAAGCATGGAACAGATTCGTCGCGTCATGAGGCCGACCGACGTACCCGATACGGGTTGGTAGATTACTATTCCGGTCCTTGCTATCATGAGAAAAGAGAGATTTAGAGAAGTGCTTCTTGATTTTCGAACAGGTCTACTCTGTGATCTACTATGGTCAGATCCTGACAAGGATATCACCGGTTGGTCTGAAAACGATCGAGGGGTTTCCTTCACCTTCGGCCCGGATGTGGTCACCCGGTTTTTACAGAAACATGACATGGATCTGATCTGTCGAGCCCATCAAGTGGTCGAAGATGGTTACGAGTTCTTCGCCAAACGTCAGTTGGTCACCCTCTTCTCGGCACCTAATTATTGCGGTGAATTCGATAACGCCGGGGCAATGATGAGCGTCGATGAGACGTTGTTGTGTAGTTTCCAAGTACGTCCCCCTCCATCTCCGTATCTCCTGATCGACATCCACTTTTTCTGACTTCTCTATCTACCGATTTTCTTTCATCTTGCCTTCGTTTCTAACAAACAACAACAATAGATTCTCAAACCGGCAGAGAAAAAACAAAAGTTTATGTATGGGGGAATGAATACTGGACGACCGGTGACACCACCCCGAAAGCAAAAGAAAAAAGATGGCAAACCGGCATGAACGACTCTTCATATCCATCTCCACTTTAACGGTCCCCTTCCCTTCCCACTCTTCCGCTTCCTCTCCTTCCTTATCGTATTCATCTGGTGTTACATCTTTTTCTTCTTTGATTCTTTTACTTCACTTTTCTTTTTTTTGATTTTTTTTTTCTTTGTGGTGTGTGTGCGTGTGTGTGTGTGTGCTCCCCCTCCCATCCCTCCCTCTCCTCGTGTGTGTGTGTGTGTCTATCCTATAAGTGTGTAGGAAATGGATTCAAAACCAAAAACCAAAATTGAAAGACAGAAGATTGAAGATTGAAGAAGAAGAAAACAAAGTCAATAGTTCTATTCCTCATCCTTCATCATCTTTCCTTTATAATCATATTATATACATATATATATATTTTTTCCCCCTTTCTTTTTTCCAAGAAAAAGAAACCATAACAAAAACAACAAGAAGATGATCAACCTAAAACCACACGTACACACTGAATCATCACCTTGATATAACCATAACAGTATAGGCTAGTCACAGTGATAGTTCTAGTAACAATATCATGATCATCATCATCATCAGGACAAGGAGGAGGAGGAGGGGTGTGGTGACGGAAAGAGAAAAAAATCATTTCAACAACTAATAGGGCTCATCAAACTGTGATTCTCCCCCAAAAAAACCGCTTTTCAAGATTGTTCAATGTTTTTTTTTTCTTGCTTTTCCCCCCCTCTTGTTTTCTGTTGTTGTTGTTGATGATGAAGTTTGTTTCAATTTCAGAGTGTTATTAATACCAATTTTGTTGATGATGGTTGATGGTTGATTGATGGAAGGAAGGATGGTGGTGATGATGAGTGGAGGAAGAAGAAGCTGGGAGAGGGAGTTGGTGAGTGGTGGATGATGGAACATGTTTTTATGCAGCTCATGATGATCAGAGACAGCAAGACTGGGGAAACCTGGAGGTTTGTTTGGTCACTGTGTGCGTCTTGGATGGAGGTTTGGCTTGATTATGTAGCTTATTCTTGGACACTTGGATACACGTGTTGCCTCTGGTCTTGTACAGTCATGTCCTTGTCCTTAACTGAGCTAGCCATTCCTTGCCTCTCTCTCTCTTTCTCTTTCTTTCTCTTTCTTTCTCTTTCTTTCTCCTTCTCCTCCTTCTCTCTGTTGCTTGTTCACATGAATACAGAAAACACCCCTTTTTGATTTGTTTTCTCTCTCTTTTGTTTGAGGCAATATGAGAGTTGTGTATGGTATCTGAGTGTGTATGAGCAGCCAGCATGTATATGTATATCTAATTGTGGTCACAAAGGGAGGTGTAAGGAGGAAGGCATATGTCCAAAAGGAGAGCCTTTTGTTGGTGTCTGGTCATCAGTTGATTGATGGACCAGGGAATCGTGATGGATGTGGAATCCACACAGGGCGTGCTGGAGAGGGTGTGATACAAGCTGGGGACTTGCTGACATTACTGTGATGAGCCAATCTCTGGACAACTCAAGTCTGGATCGGGCTGCCACACACCAAGACTTGTTTGAAACACACTGGCCGGAAAATCAGTGACAGCTGGAGCGATTATTGGAGTGGATTCAGAACCGGTTTTTGATGGGCAATCATCTGGTTTCTTATCCCAATCAAGAGGCACTTTCTCACTTGAAAATAAGTTCAACAATCAGCCAGTTATGCTAACCGTAGCATCATCACAGTGTGATATAGCTGAAATCTGCTAACATTTAGCATAGCTTAGCCAAATCCCATCCCAACTGTGCTCATACTGCACATGCAGGCCATAAAAAAGGGCCCACTACACTGCACTAAAGTGCATTTTACTGTTTTTGCCATTAAAAGCGCTGTAGGGAAGCCTAACACAGCACAGTGGGACTAACAGCACACTGACACTAGAGTGTTGTTGCACTGTTTTGAGGACCGCTATAATCACATTAGTGGGCTGTTTAGCATAGTGTAGTGTAGCAGACCATTAATGCTGATAAGCTCTAAGAAAGCTCTCTTGAATGCCATCACAATCATCCTGTGAACAAAATGGGGTACACATCTTCAGCACCAGTCTGGTGCCAAGTGTGTGCCCAGGCAGCACACCCATCATCAATTTTTAACATCCACTCAGACAAGTTGTGGTGTATTCTGCAGCAGTTGGAGACTGTCAAACTGGATGGATGGACCCACTCATCATGCACTTACAGCCCAAACGGAGGGGGCCCTGGGGGAAGTTGGACTACATCAAAGCTTTGAAATTTGACTCGAGTTATCTGAATCAGAATTACATCAAGAGAAGGTTTTGAATCCAATCACCAGGAAAAATGGTTAGTTACTTGACTGCAAGTGACATCAACTCCCAAGCAACAATTGTTTTGCTTCTATATCTGTTCATGTTCTGCTATCAATGGACTACAATAACCCCTTTGTCCTCTGTACAGGCAGATGTAGACAATCACAATGGGATAGTTGATGGGTAGTTGGCTGAACTTGGCCTGAGTTCCCCTGATATCCAGTGATCATGTATTATTTCTGGCAGATCAAAGCTGGATACTCAAAACTAATCATAGATTGTTGGGGAATTAAAGGAGAGATGTGGAAGACAGATGCACATGAATATTCTGTTAGTATTTTGGGATGATTAGACTATCTTTTTTGATATGTATATCATAGTCATTCAGTAATGTGCAGATATAGCCCCCCTAACCAAACAAATATGCATAAAATATGGAATGCAAGATTCAAAAATTTATGTAGTGATTCATGGAGCACCACAATCATAATTTCAAAACATCTCACTTGCAGTTGATTAGGCCAAGTTTTTATTTTATTCAGGTTGGAGTATTGAAAGCATTCTTTCCACTGTATCTCTTGCTGCTGACTCCTTTGAAGACTTTTCCCATTGTGCTATCTGTCTTGCGGTGGCCTCTTTTTCTCTTGTTTCCCTTGCTGCCCTTTGAATGTCTTCTATCTCTCTTGCCAGCTTCCTCTGTAGCTTACCTTTACCTGACCTCCCTTTTGACCGATTTCTCTCCGATGTTTCTGCGGCTGATGAGCTTTCGGAGAGATTCTCCCTTTCTTCGGCCTCTTTTGAAGAAATCTCTCTCATTCTAATATCCACAATATGGCGATGGATTGCAAATTTGATTGCGATCAGTTGGCTCTTATGCTCTAGCAAAGTGACTATGGGTGGTGTTGCATATTGCAAAGCTTCGAGATTCGCTTCAAGCATTCTTCCGGGCCATTCTTTCAGAAGTTCAACTCCAAAGTGAGGCGGAGGAAGTAGAGCTGCGAGGCGGTAAGATGGATTCCCAAATCCAACAAACCTATCTGATGAAACCTTGGCTTCCCACGGAAGAAACAAAGCTTGATCATCTTTGTTGATGTTTGTCCAGAAGGCCGGCTCTGCCTTGAACGAGAAATGCTGAGGGACCTTCTTCAACGCTTCACCGAATTCGCGGTAGACGGTTTTGAATGCATCTGACAGGAACAGAGTTGCTATATCGAAAGCTTGTAGTTGCCGGTAAGTTGGTGATTTTTTAAGAGTTTCCATCACGTCTTTGACATGGTATTGAATCATGAAAGCTATCATGCCATGCAAAAGCTTGGATTTTACTAGTTCTTCATTCATATCAAATGACGGACTCAATGGTAAAAAGACCTGCGGGAGTAACGTTACCAGGAACCATTCCTTAGGGCTTGCATGAGAAGGTCCCTCCAGTCCTTCGGCGAGCTTTGTCGGGGATGTGTAGTGAAGGAATTGTTTTCCAACTTCACCTAAAGTTGATGTCTCGAAGATTTTGAGCTGAGCGCCCAAATATAACCGTCTCAAGTTCTGCCACGTCGCTTCATTTAAATCTGATGATTTAAAACAAACATAAACATGCGTCAACTTTAACCAATCGGATAGATGGAACGAATGTGCGGATAGATGGAACGAGTGTGGTTTGCGAGTAGCATCAGGGCCGTTGACAGACTTTTCAAGAGATCGTGAATGTCTTCCGTGAAGTGGCTGTTTTGAAGGCTAAGCTTCAGATCGAAATTGAGGTAAACCTTAGATAGATTGTTGACTGGACCGGCCTTCTGGATGATATACCGGAACAACATGTTATCTTCATGAGGATCGTTAATCAACTCGCTGAGACGCGGGCCGCTGATCAGTTTTTGGCGTTCTAGAGCAGCCAGGAAGTGAACTGAAATCTCAGCAAGACGTTGCCTCAGTAAATCAGCTTGACTGGTCACTTGAGATTGCACGAATCTCGCTCGGTCCTGCAGAAGCGTCCAAGACGCCTTCATCTTCGTGAGGAAATCGGAGGCAAACTCCTCGTATTCTGCCAGCTTGAAATCGTTGATTTGCTCAACATTGTCCAGCATGATCGCTTGTGACTTGTTGAGAACAGATAAGATCAAACCCGCATACTCGCGTGAAGCAGCTCGAGTGAGCCCAACTTGAGAATGAAGAACCAAGCAGTGGTTCATGTGCTCCCACAATTGATCTGTAGAAAATCAATGGTTTTACTTTGCCTGGTCAAGAGCAGTCTAACTTTCCCAACAACAAAACAGATGAGTGATAAATCAGACGCACCTATCGGATCAACCAGTTGATGAACTACAAAACCAAGTGCGTCAGTCGATGGTTATGATTGATACAAATCTGTGAATTATGTACTCCTACTCACTTCCTTGGGGCAGTTTGGGGGCTGTTAGTGTTGATGGCTGACCGAGGATCACTGGATTCGCATTGAGCCATTTTGGTTGATCAGTCATATTATAATAACGGAGGGTTTGAAGTGGTTCGGATCAACGGAGTCTTACTCCTGCCGAATTCTTCCGGCGGGACATGAGGCGGGTCGTCTAGTGCCCCTATCGGCGCTATCGAATGAACACCGAAATATGTAAAGAGGTCACACTTGGCGATCAGCTTCAAATCAATGCGTGCTGGAGGGAAAAATGCAACCCGATACCTACGTCCGGAGTGATATCTTTGCAGTGGATCTGCGTGCAAGATGTTGGGGAAAGGGGACCGCATAAGGCCGAGAATTTTCCCAATTGATCCCAACAAGCAAACACCCAAAAGGCAAGTTTGTGCGGCCGAAGTCCGCCAGCAGCTGGGCATGGGCCCCATTCTCAATTGTCGGAGTAACACCATAGAAAAGGAGATCGGGGTTTCTTTGTAGTGGAAATGGCAACACTGATAGTCTTGACTATCACTCCTGACCTGATTAGATAAGGACTAATCTATGGCCGGATGAAAAAAAACTCTGCAGGTGTCAGAGGTGCCCAAGTGCCCCTCAGACGAGTCCCTTGGTTCAAGAATCCACAGGTTCTTTGGTTACATGTATGCCTTTTTTTTCTTGAGACAGGTTTTGGAAGAATTGTGGAAGGAAAGTGAATGATAAGGTCTGCAAATATAGGAAGATCTGATACCCATTCCAACACCCCATATTCAGAGTAAGGTTTCTAGAATTGATGTTAATCAAACCTTGGGTTAGACAAGATCAACTCTTTTGCATAGGGTACATAAAAAACCCTCAAATTGCATTGTATGTAATGGTTTCCTGTAGTTGGGTGTACAAGGAGTTTCATTTTTGAGGAATACAATTTTCCATGTTTAGCAGTCAGTTGTTTGCTGGCACACAGTCCCTCCACAAACACCATAGGGAATCCTAAAGAAAGAAGAGAAAAAAAAAAACTGCCAGCAAAGTCTTGAAACCTTGCTGCACATCTGATCTTTTTGACTGCAAGATATTCCCAAGACCATGAAAAACCAAAAAATTGGCCCCTGGAAGACAGACAATCAGCACTTTCAAGCACCCATGAATTTAGGAACTGAAATCAAAATGATTGTAATTCAAGAGCCAATATGATTGATACACCCAAGGAATATTCTCAGGAGAGGAAGTGATGCTAAATTCAAGCTTGAAATAGTGATCTGGATGCCAAGTGCTGAGTTGAATAAATATTCATGATGTGCTATGTCACAGGCCCCAGTAATACTATTTTGAAGAGTGCCAAAATTTAAATTATTGGGCAATCTTTCCAAGCTCTCTGGAGATTGCTCAGGTTTCATAATCATCCAGCCTATAACTTTTGCAGGTTTTTTTTGAAGTACAAAATGATGAAACAAGTTGAATGCAGCAACCTTGAACTTAGCAATGACTCGGGGGAAAAAGGAGTAATGAACCTTGGAGTGAAGAAATTAGTTTTTTCGAAGCTGTCTTGGATTGCTAGAGAAATCTATCTCCTCTGCAGCTCATGAATATCGACGCTCTACCTCCACATCCTCCTTATCAGCTTGGGGATTCGTAAGGACCCCGGAAAGCCCCAACCAAGCCGCCTAATGTAAAATGTAGCAAAACAGATTTTTTTTCTGAAATGTCCCTAATGTAAATCCGCAAAAAGGTAGCAAAAACAAAAAAAAAAGCAGCACATGATCCTTCTGTATGTGGTAGCAATTTGTCCACCAGTTGTAGTTTATGCATGAAATGATTAGAGATTTTTCACAAGGATGAAAAAAAATTGAATTTTATGCATGATAGGAAAATTTATTGAATTTTTTTTCAAAAATAACCAAAAGGACCCTGATGTCGGAGGTAGCAAAACATGCATCTGCCCCCCAAAACCAGATATTCCTAGGTAGCAAAAACCCAGATTTCGCAGGTTTTACATTAGGTGGCTTGGTAGGGGCTCTCCGGGGTCCTGATTCGTAGATTCCAGCATACTGGAGACACAGACAGATTCTCATTTGGAGATCCATCGTTCAGGTTGCAAGATGACGGGTTTGAGCGAAAAAGTGTAACCATGGTCGCGTCGATGTCGATTTAAGATAAAGAGAAGCTTCTAAAACCAAGAAGCTGGTACATATTCTTTTGGGGGGGCAAATGCAGTTGCTGTTGCTGCTCGATTGATATATTTTAAAATATACAAGAAAGGAACCACTCTCCATATCTACCACCGAGACCTGATCACGCCGGAGCTCGTGCATGCCCAGTCAGTTGCCTGATGACTGGTTCTGCTCAAGAAATCCGAGCATCTAAATATCCAGCCAGCATTGAGCATCGGAACCAAAAACACGATTTATGTATTACCTTCCAAGATTCCAGGATCCACACAGACATCGCCCGACTCCTCGTTTCCCCCTGATTTCGTCCGCGTAATCCCAGAACCCACTTACTGCAGGGGTTGATTGGACTACTGGGGTCTGTTCGTTTAAGCGGTCTAGAACAAGAACCGCCTTCCTCAAATTCACCAGTCCTTCCATCTCACCTCGCCCTGCTATTAGCCGATTGGTGCGTACATTCCTCCACTTTCTTCACCTCCGAGTCTGTCCCCTTCATTCCTACTTTGGCGGCAGCATATCCCATGCCCTCCGGAAGCTTTCATCTACTCAGACAGTATTCTCCGATACACTAATACATCACAATAATCGATACATTAAATACATTGACTCTTGATAATCGCGCATTCATCCCACACCTTCTGACCGGCCCACCCACTCTTTCTTCATTTTACAGCGAAAAATTTCATTCGTTTATCTGCTTGAAGCACTGCCAGTCTCACGGCTTATCACTGTGCCCCGCCGTCACACCCTACAGACTGATCTGATAAGCAGTCTGCCACAATGTCGACGTCAGTATTCTTTTTTTTTGATAGGGTTCTTCGCTTAATTTATAACGGCGGTTTTTGATGTAGCTAATTACTCTTCCTCAACCTTTTAACATTACAACTTAACGATCGACTAACACGACAACTTTGATGGGGTAAACGCTATCTCGCCCTCCAGCTCGATGGAGGAAGCGCAATCATCTTCCAACCAGACCTTTCTGAGTGCCTTGGTGCTCAACTCACTTATCGCAGCGGCTGAGATCGTCGGGTTTATAATCCTTCGGCGTTACTTCCGCAAAGTCTATCAGGTATAGATTCAAAGATCCTTCTCATCCTCTACTCAATTGCGGAGTTTCTATTCCCCTATAGGCATGTGCAATACTAACTGCTGTCCCGTGTATCTCACGTGTGCTTCTTTATATCATCATCTGTTTCTCTAGCCGCGTAGCTACCTGCCGAGCCCCACCAAAAGATCTGAGCCACTCTCATCCGGATGGTTATCATGGATCCCCCAGATCATCATGGCCGATGACGAACAAATCATTCACCACAACGGCCTCGACGCTTACTGCTTCCTCCGCTTCCTGAGACTTCTCCTCAATATCTTCACACCCATCTTCGTCCTCTCCTGGACTATTCTTTTGCCAGTCTATGCCGCTAATTCCGGCGGCATCAAGTCTGGTCTCGATCGGTTCACGTTTGGAAATATCGGCCCCACTGCTCAAATTCGACTTATCGCACCCTTGATCCTCGCTTACGCTTTTACCTGTATGTGATCCTTAATGTTTCTCGTGTTCATATTTACTGACAGAGCATTGAAACTTGTTTCATCCGCACGTGATCCTATCGCCGTATAGTCTACGTGCTCTATCTTCTTAAAGTAGAGATCGAAGGCTTCATCAGCAAGCGACATGCATTCCTGACTTCAGAAAGCTATCGCGCTCGACCGGAGTCTCGGACAGTTCTTCTCACCGGCATCCCGAAAGACCTCTTGGATGCCGATTCTCTTCGTCGATTTACTGCCCACTTGCCGGGGGGTGCCCGTCGGATCTGGATCGTGCGCGACATTAAGGATTTGCCCGAGCTGTATGAGCGTCAGCAGAATGCATTCTCGAAGCTTGAAGGAGCCTATGCCAGTTTGATCAGTACCGTCCATAAGGCACACCAGAAAAATCAGAAAAACTCTAAAGCCGTGCCCGAAGTCATGGAAGACGGCCAGGAATGGTCCAAGCATATCCCGCGATCAAAGAGACCAACTCACAAGCTCGGATTCCTCGGCCTGATTGGTAAAAAAGTCGATTCGATTGATTGGGCATCAGACGAAATCTTGGAAACTTCTAAGGAGCTCAGCGATCGCCGCTCGCACATTGAAGACTATCAACCAATCAACGCTGCCTTTATTGAGTTCAACAATCTCGTGGCGGTAAGTAATTTCTTACTTCGAGTCCATCGCAGCAGCTTAGGTGCTCTAACCGATTTTGCATAGATAGCTGATTCATTTTTGACTGTTTATCTCATAGGCCCATCTGTTCGCACAATCCTTAGCGCACCACACCCCTCTAAAAATGCACGGAAAATGGTTGGACGTAGCCTCAGAAGATGTGATCTGGTCCAACCTGAGCATGGACCCTCTTCAGCAACGCATCCGAGGACTGATCTCTTGGGCAATCACTATCGCCCTCATCGTCTTCTGGGCCGTTCCAGTGGCCTTCGTCGGCATGATTTCGAACGTCAGCAGTCTATGTTCTAAGGTGTTTTTCATGGCCTGGCTGTGCAAACTCCCACCCCCAGTCCCTGGAATCATTCAAGGTATCCTCCCACCCGTCTTGCTCGCAGTGCTGTTCATCCTCCTGCCAATATTCCTTCGTCTACTGGCCAAGTTTCAGGGCATTCCTCTCAACTCTCGCGTCGAACTTAGCCTCATGAGCCGTTACTTCAGTTTCCTAGTCATACATGGTCAGTCAACATCATCCGCTTTCCCCTCTCAATTTCCCGCGCCTAACTTGTTTGCATGATACTCTCAACAGGTTTCTTGATTGTCACCCTGTCCTCCGGATTGGTCGCCGCGATTCCTCCGATCATACAACAACCTACCATGGCGCCCACGATCCTTGCCCAACAACTGCCCAAAGCATCCAACTTCTTCCTCACCTATTTTGTTACCACCTGTTTCGCGGGTGCCGCTGGTAGTTTACTTCAGATCGCCGGGGTGGTGGTCTACAATCTCAAACTCAAATTCCTCACTTCAACCCCTCGTTCCGTCTATGCAACCCGTTGCGGAATGTCGTCCGTCCAATGGGGCACGCTGTTCCCAAACATAACCTTACTGGCCGTCATAGCCATTAGTTATTCTATCGTCAGTCCGATCCTTAATGGATTCGCACTCGTTGGGTTTGCATTGTTTTGGTTTGTGTACAAAGTCAGTGACCATAATTTTTTCGATCGACTAATAGAGTCCATTACCGATTGAGCTGTGCGCTTTGACTGATAACAATCATCTTTCCACCAACAGTATTTGTTTATCTTTGTCATGGATCTTACCAGCTCAAGCGAAACTGGAGGAAAGTTCTTTCCTTTGGCAATTAAACAGGTATGTTGGTGCCTAACTACAGTCGAGCAACGTGACATCCTTATCTTACCACCCTCTGATCTTTCCTTGAACGTGAAAAACAAAAGGTGTTTGTTGGACTATATATTGGCGAAATTTTCCTGGCGGCATTGTTCTTTCTGGCCCAAGACGCATCAAGCAGTCAATCAGGAGTCATACATGGAGCGTTGATGATAGTCCTCATTGTGATCACGGTGTTGTTCCAAAGCATGATCCGAAAAGACTATTTCCCATTGATCGATTACCTGCCGGTATCGTTGGCCGGCCCAGCTTCGGGGCCAGATAAGGAGGAAGAGTCGATGCAAAAGTCGGAGGAGCCGATCATCGAGAAGAATCTCAAGACGCCCGAAACGGTTGATGAGAAGGAGCACCATTTCGACCATCCTGCGCAATGGAAAGATGTCGGTATCTTGTGGATCGCCGATGATGAAGACCTCAAGATCGGCCAAAACAGCGTCAGCCAGCTCCAGGCCGCTGGACTCAAAGCTTCCTCCCACGGGGCGAAATTCGGAAGCCCAGGCAGTCATGTGATTGTTACTAGGTTAGTACACAGATCTCCCATTCGTTTTGAGGTGTAGGTTATAGCGTGTTTGTTGACTTGATGCTGCGCCCCTTTTCTTTTCTCAAATAAAATAAACAGGAGTCCACCGGACGCACCAGAGCCAATCGAGATTCCAGCCACCGATTAACTTCCAACCAAGTTATCTTAACTTCCAAACAAAACGTTTCTTTTTTTGTTTTCTTTCCTACCAGACTTATCCTTCAGAGGCTCTCTCAATATTGTCTGACTAAAACTTAATACATCATTACGATCTGCAAGAATGTCTTCCTAAATTATTGACCGAGCCCTTACAATGGCTATTAAATTATCACCATTTCTGTCTTCCATCATTATTACTTTTGTAAGTGTCAGATGGAGCGTTAGTAAGGGGGGGGGGGACATCAGTGCTCTGTCGTCTTTCTCTTTCCCCTTTATTTGGCCTCTACTACGCCTCTTTTCCATGGATGTTTTCACACACAACTGTTTCCTTCATGTTCTGAAATGACGATCTACCTATTTCCTTCATTTTCTGGAATCACGACATGCACAATGCTCATGATTCATCAGTTGAAATGGGTGCTGCAGATACTTGGTAGTACTGTTATCCATTTCAAGTCTTATTTGGGACTTCCTACAGTACTGTGCTGTAAGTTAAACTCATGCAAGATCAATGCTTACATGTGAAATCAGACCAGTTTCCAATCCTTCAACTTGGCTCAAGAAGCTTATTGGGTTCACAATATCAATCAGTGGTTTACCACCTTCCTAGATTCAGGCTGGAAGCTTGCAGAAAAACACAATCCGATAAATAAAACCTTTTGTTTTTGTTTTTTTTGCTCTTGGACTCAAGAGGGCAGTGTAAGGAGTTGGATCTTGAACGCACACACACACACTATCCTGGTTCACATACTCATCTTGGATGCCATAGCTTTTTGTGAATCTATCAATGGGATTTTCACAGATTTGGGAGCACCTAGGAGCACCTATAGTTCACTCTTGGAAATGCATTTCATTTGATTGTCCAGCTTGAGCTAGTGAAGTTCTCTTGTTCTACGAAAAAAAGAACCTCACTTGGAAGTGCTGTGTAGCTAACTATGAGCTTTTTATTAGTATTGTAGATACCAGATGATGCTTACAGAAGCTCTGTCTTAGAATAGAGATGGTTAATTGTTGGAGTTTTGGCCACCTCTTGCTCTTATAAGCCTCTTTTTCTTTTCTTTTCTTACTCATGCCTCCATCACTTGTTCTATTATATCATTAGGATCTACCCTCTCATCACTTTGAATCCCATCTCATCATGGTCTGTCCTATCTTCCTAGTTATGAAGTCTGACCCCCAGTTTGTAGTCTTAGAACCCTGATTGAGGAGGGCTTATCTTCTCTCTGGTTAGTCTGCTTATCTTCTTGGGTTTGAGTTATTTCATTTATGGTGTCTGTGGTTGTACCCTACTGGTTTTCATAGAATATTCTTTTTCATTCTATTCATTATTATTTTTTATTCATTTTCTCAACAGCCACAGTTTGAACTCTTGTATCTAGTCTATTGAATCTAGACTAGTACAGTGGGTAGACAGTGAAAAGTGGCTGCTTATTTTGGATTGCAGAGCTCTGAAACACAAAATTGAAGTCATAAGACTTGGTCAGGTGGCGCATAATAGCTCCCAAAAAATGAATATGAAATAATAAAAGCAAAAAATAAAGTTTGAAAATTTGTGAAAAATAAAAAATAAACTTGTTTTTTTTTCAAAAGCTTTAATATTCATTTTGAGGGAGTGGGAGTGCTGAGAGAAAGAAAGAATGGAACATGGAAAGAATGATTATAAATGAAAAAAATTGGAACCAAAAAAGGTTTGGCCAGGTTGGTGGTCCAGATTGGAGCCAAAACAGTAAATTCTAGTGCTTTGCTGCAATGTGGGCTGGTGAATGCCCCACTCAACAGCTGTTTGAAGACCTCTGAAAACCAGTTTTTCCAAAATTTTCATTCATAATCATTCTTCTCATTTCCCAATCTTCCTTCCTCTCAGCACTCCCACTTCCCCAAAATGAATATCAAAGCTTTTGAAAAAAATCAATTTTGTTTTTTATTTTTCACAAATTTTGAAACTTTATTTTTTGCTTTTATTATTTCATATTAATTTTTTGGGACCTATTATGCACCACCTGACCAAGTCTCATGTTTTCAAATTTGTTCTCTGGAGCTCTGGAATCCAAAATAGGCAGCCACTTTTCACTGTCTAGGCACTGTACAAGAAATTAAAAACTATCGGTTCTCCTCATAAAAATTGAGTTTGACCACTTTTTTGCCCCTCAAAAAGGTGACACTAGAGTCCGTTCAAAATCCCTTCATCTTCTTCTAAGCTCAAGTTTCAACATTAATTATGTCTGACTCATACCAATTTAAATTGTCAACTCCCGTCTCTTATGGTGACTAGGGGTTGATAGAGGATTGAGTTGCACTATGGTTGTTTACACAACTTAGTGGAAATGGGTTGCACTATTGTCAACACTGGGAGGTTACGCTACCAGTAACGGTAGCGTAACGATAACGCAACGAAACCAGGGCTGTTAGGGTTGCAATAATCACAACGGCCTTTCCGTTACGTTTTATTTTTTATTTTTTCTTATTTTTTTTTGTCGTTACATTATCCACAGCGCAAAAAGGTGGATTAACAAATGAATAACTAGGTCAATAACGCAGATAACTTGTTGTTTGCGTTATTTTTCTGGGTAAAGAGGGGAGAAACCCCCTTCGTTACGTTACTCATGACACAAAAACCCATTTTGTCTGGATAACGCTAACAGCGTTATTAGGACAGCTGGGAAGTTACGTTACGAAAATCCCTTTGGATAACGTAACGTATGTAACTTCCCAGTGTTGCTATTGTTGGATACCCAAAGTAGTGGAAATAACCTCTTCTGTATACTGATAGTATTAGAAGGGCTGCTCCTGATGATCATAAGGGACAACAGCGGGATAGCTTTGCTGCGCCAGGCCTTTATGAAGAGAAATAAGGGGTTGTACTAGTCTCTAGAGTTACTAAGATCAGACTTGACAGACTAGTACAATCTAATTCAAGTAATGGTTTTGTAATGCATTGATATTTCTAGATTAATAAACCCCACTCCCTTATTGTCCTTTTTGGTAAATAGGTAAGGCTGGTGGGTTTGTATGGTAAACTCTGAGGGAGGAATCTTAAGGAAAGAATCACTTCCTTCAGTATTACAGTAACAGAACAGTGGTCATACTGCTTGTGGGACCGGTACAGTCTGCATATTATTACATTATTTCTTTGGGGAGAAATCTCAAGATATTCTAAGAATGATAAATGTACATGTGAGGAAAATCTCTATTGTTTCAGAAAATAAACACAAGAAAGATAAACTGGACAATCAGTATTCACAAAAGAGATAATCAGGACAATAAGTATTCACAAGAGAGATACACAGGATAATAATCTCTTGGATAATCACAAGAGATAATTATCCTTTCCAACTTGAGTATAACTTTCATGAAAGAGGTAAATTAATAAAGAGGTAAATCTTTATTAATTTAAAGAATAAAAATATTAGTAAATTATTATTAACTTACAAAATACATATAATAATATTTATTATTATGTAACCCAAGGGGTTACATTCTCTTGTAGACACCTGGGCTAGTGTCTCAGTGTCTGACAGAAATTGTGCATAGGTCTTAGAAAGAATGGCAAAGCTATGCTCCTCCATTTTACAAGCATTAGGATGGCCTTGGAAATTACTCTTTGCTGGACTCAAAATTAGGATATTTAGGTGCACCAGTGAGCCGGCTCCAGCAGTGAATTTTCATTTTTTTTCAAAACAAAGATTATTGACAGACTAAGGGCCTGTACTGTGGGATGCAATTTTGAAATCTTTTTTTTTTTTCTGTCTTCTTGACCAAAATTGAACATAAGTCAAGGTTTCTATTGTTGAAATTCTGCACTTCTAGGCCACAAACTGGCTGTTGACAATGGTCAGTTTTGATATGAAAATTTGAGGAAGATGATTTCTGAGAAATCAAACTTTCATGCCCCACAATACTGGCCCTAAGTAAAAATTAGGCGACTCTTATTATAACAAAAAATAACCATAATGGGAACCCAAACCAAACTTCTGATAGCCCGAGCAAAAATTAGTTCCTACCAGAAAAAATATACAATCAAAGGGCATTGGAAATGAATTTTTAAAAGGTTTGTCGTGCTTCATTTTCAAATGCTTCCGGTAATGAAAATGTTGCACGGAAATATGCAGTTATTTGCACTTCAGTTTCAGGTGTTTTTCACCATCCTTGAAATATGTTGAGATGATTCTTTGAATCATACTTTTATTGTACTAACATATTGGAGCGAACTAAAAGCCGAAAAGAGTGACAAGAAGAGAGAGTGGGCTTGAGAAGAATAAGTGATTTATAGAGGGATGGAAGATAAGTAAGAATATAAGTAACACAGGGTTCTATAAAGGTAGTTTGTAGACATTCGTGCAAGTTATTAGTGATCTGATCGGCCCGCTAGTCAGTGGCTGCGGTAGACCCAGCGAGTGTCCATTCCAAGTATTGTAGGACCAGGCGGTTACAGATCAGGTGCAACGATTTGAAATTGGCAGAGGTTTTAGGTGATGACAAATGGAGAGAGGGGACTGCACATGGAGACTGATCAAGGTAGGTTGATGTTACCTTTGCTCAGGGTCTAAAACAGTCAAGTCCCGTTGGTCCATCTAGATCGGAAGTTTGCCAACCTCTCTGCAAGCCTTGACAGTTCCGTGCTTTTTGATGGCTTTCCGAATGGCTGCATTATTTCGAGGAAATGTTAACAAACGCTGGTACTCATCACCGAAGGGCTACCTGCTTACCTGGAATTCGAGTGTCGCAGACAGGTAGGTTGATGATGCAGTCAGCGTTCCGGTCGGTTGGTACCGCCCTGTAATTCAGCAGCATGTCGGTTGGTTAGCTCCTCAGACTTCCTGATGTCAATTAAGCCAGTTGATGGTCACGAACGTGTTGTTGTAAGGGTTATATTCGGGCTTTCCGTACTTGATCTGGCAGTTGTATGACTGAGTAGTCAAGTATTCTGCTGTGAAACCGTAGGATGAGTTGATAAGAGAGCCATGATACCACGTGTTGATGGCGTGGTCATGTTTGTGTCGGATCACATTCATCATTCTTTGGTTTCGAAGCGTGTAACGAAAGCAAGTTCAGTAAGATTTAGTTCATCGAGGTGAAGTGATGCGACGACCTACGTTTTATTGGGATAACAGAATGAAATTGAGTCGGGATCGCTCCAAGCACCGTTGGGTCCTTTCCCTTTGCATCCGTCCTGAAGGCAAAGCATTAATAAGGGAGAAATCGGGAATAGTGGGCGGAGCTGTTCATCATGAAGTGGGCCGACTTACTCCGACAGTGACAAAACCTCCCTGATAACGAAGCAACATAAGCGATCTGGATAGCGTTGTGACTCTGATAGAGCGTGGAAAATTTCGACTCACGTAATCCCGGATGATTGCATTCATGATTTTGGCAGTGGCAGTAAACTTGATTTCGGACTCGACTTGCTGGAATTGACGAGCCTCAATGCGTCTGAAGTAGGTTCCGTTTTTCAGGACTCCGGAAATGCCCTTGGGAGTACTGATTCCTGCGTTGATGATATCCGTAGTTCTGTTGCTGAGAGTACCCTGGGCAAGACTTTGCCATTTCCCTAGGTACCATGCAAATTCGGACCACTGAAAATAAAGGATTCCATTTGTTCAAAAATCAATTCCTTGTTCAAACGACCCGACCCAAAGAGTTGTGATGGTATGATGACTAACCCTTTGGAAAGGGTCGGGTTCATCTTTCTTCTCTTTGTCGAGAAGCATGATGCCGACGGCACCTTCGCCAGTGGCAATAATTGCATTGATACTGTACCAAATACCAATGGCCAGCAGAGTACCGGGGAATACCATGACCACCGAGGCAATCAGAGCGGCAATTCCACCGGCAATGGAAAAAATATCGTTCCACTTCCAAAGCGGACTACGTTTGGCAGGATGGTACAGATCTGTTACCATAGCGGATGTGATGGCTACGTGGAAACAAGATATAAGCACTCGGCGAAAGAATTGATAGCAAATTCGATGGGCATTCAGGCAGGGAAGAACTTTACATTGTGTCATAGATACTGCCATCCCAATGGCATTGTAGAGAGTATTCTGGACCAAATTCCAATTTTGTACTGCATAAAGCACTTCCCATTGTGGCCCCGGGATGGGATTACACGGCTGGAAGAGAAATCGTGATGGGGGTTAGAAACGTGCAAAACTGAATGGTGAATACTTGACTGACCTGTTGTGCATCACATGCTTCTCCAATGCCACAAACCCAATTTTGGACGCTGACGGATAGCGCATAGTCCTGAAAACAAAATTGACATTTTTGTTCAAGGGGGACAGGCACGACATGAGCTGATGAGTATGGAAGTAAATCAAGTCACAGTGTCAAAGGCCAACAACACTCACGGTCAAAGTGTAATTCTGTCCTCCCGGATAGTTGGCGAGATATTGATCAAGATTGAGCCGATTCCAAGTAGCAGGTTGTAGGGGGAGGATTGCACAAGGATCTGTCCAGTTAAGAGAGTCGGGTGTGGGAAGTGGGATTTGCCCATTGTTCATTAAAGAAACTGTGGTTACCGGCAACGGTTCGGGCGTGTCCGTAGAATTCGTGGAATTGGTAGGACTGGGGATGTTCATGGCGCCGGGAGTGCTAGGAGTGCTGGGGGTAGTCGGAGGTGGCACTTGGGCTGAACTGATAGCACTGTTCGCCAGAGCGATTAGCAGGGGCATTCGAACCCTGCGATTGCGCATCACTTGGCCCATCGCTCACTTCAGGCTATCTCACGTTGGCGAGTAGGTGATATTGATGCTAGTAAAAGACCCGGTTACCTTCTGCTTGGTCTCGTCGAAGATACGAAAGAATGGAAGTGAAAAACGAATGACTGAATAATAAGATATTGGCTTTCGACTGAGAGGTTTGGCTGGAAGCTGCCACAGTGCCAAGGGGAAGCAAGGCCAGAACGGGCCTTTTTTACTTCATATCTAATGGGGTGTGTGATGAGTTCTCCTCAGGTAATGTATGCTGCCAAGCTGAAACATCAGCTTCCATGACTTGTGTCAATGGACTCGTTATGAATTCCGAAGTCGAATACGACCCTCAGGCACGTTACAGAGCATGTCTGATACTGCTGATGAAACATCAATTCGGAAGAGCACTCAGACACTCAGAATAAAGCTGCGACTTCCGGAGAGGAAGGTGTTCTTGGCTGATTTCCGCCGAAGCCCCCCCCCCCCCCCGGCGAGTGCCAGGGGAACCAGGGTATATGTACTAGGGTATACTCTTGAACAGGTTCAGCAACTATTGAAAGACCTGCCGGTCGGGTCTTTAACTGGCCTGAGCCTCATAGAAGCCTCCGGATTCTACAATTCTGTGGTTGAGAACATGGCACTGAAATCGATTCCTCAGCTTAAATCGCCTTCAAACCATCAGAGGAATAAAAAAAGTGTTTGAAAAAACAAAGGGCCCTCTCCTCTTGGCGCCTTAGGGACAAATTCAAAATGCCATAAGCTTGTCTACATAGCAACCAATTCGTACCCTTGAAAGGAGTACTGTGCAATACAATAACCCAAGGTTCTGGATCGAAGCAAGCAGTGTATATTAGCACAGAGTTCCGAGCATGATGCGCTAGAAGTAGAACATCAAGTTGTTTTCCTAGAGGCAAATGGAGGGCAACCTGATAAAATGAAGGATGGCATTCTAAGATGCAAGATGGCATAAGTAGATTGACGGGTGGTGAAAACCCAGTAGTGTCAATATTATGAAATGAAGGACGGGATAATGGCCCATTGCGAAATTGAGAGGGAAGGAATATCCCAAGCTACCCAAACCAACATTCCCATCAGGCTGGGTTCGGCACTTCAAATCAAGAGACAAATCAAGGGAAATGAGACAGCACATGGAAGACAGATTGATGAATCTTGGTAGTATCGCTTGAACTGCTTGTCTCATAATTGTATTTTTTTTTCGGACGTAGTCAAGATATCAACCTCTGAAAAAAGGGTAAGGAAGCTAGGTACAAACTCTTCAAGACGAGGAAGGAAAATCTGGAATGAAAAAAGAAGCCACCAAGGTTGTTTCCGAAAAGATGTGGAAAAAGGAATCTATGTTGGGGACTGTTTACACAAATAAAGATTACCACTTTTGCTGGGGGTTTGCCTTGAAAGCCTCGTAATCCGCACGATTGAACAAGCTAACTTCCGATTCGTTTTCTGCAGGTTTTTAAAAAAAAAATCCAGAATATTCTGTATGAATTGAAGAGAGCTATTGATGTAGTTATGGAGTGACAAGACAAACAAACCTAATCCATATTCTGACAGGGATTTCGAGCGGTCTTCCAAGATCCATTCATCGTGGTCCAAGTTGATGATCAGATTGGTGGTCTACGAAATCCGGCAAATTTCCCGGTTGCGTAAGTCTAGAGATTTTTTGTAGAGCTGAAGTGATATTCTGAGTTGGGATGAATATACGACGACTCAACTTTGGCTCCATGTGCTTTGCTATACAATTTGAAAGTATCTGATAGAGAATCGACATTAGTCAAAGTGAGGAAACGATCACCAGTGGTTTATGCTAACCGAGTGCTACGTTTTGGAACATCTTCCAGCCAGGCGCCGATGATATTTCTAGTAAACAAGCCATAATCAGACGAGCTATTGAATGAGTCCAAATAGTGATTCTACACACGTTGCTGGCAAAGGGCCAAGAGTTGATCGGTTTTGATGGTTTCCAAGTTGAGATGATGGAGTACCAAGTTTTTGGAGTTTCGGTACTCAAACGATTTGATGATCCTTATGGTAATCGTTGCATCTGTGTTCGGTTTGGTGGTGTTCGTCAGTGGATCGGTTTGCGTGTTCTCGGCCATTTAGGAAATGTTCGAGGGTCAAGCAAGAAGTCATTCAACACTCTTATTTATAGAGTAGACGGTGGAGTTGTCCATAATCCATTCGGAGGTGCCTCGCGTTTTAGACCATAGTACACAGGCCTTCAACAGCCCCAGGGTCCCCATTAGAGCGGGAATCGACTGTGCGTGTGATCAAAGGACGTTACCACTCTGGGAGAGAAGAAAAGCTGATTCCATCGTGTTCCGCGTCAGAACCCACGATCAACGAGATCCCACTTGACCAACAGCTGGTTTCTGATCTCCTAACGGCGTGATTGAGGAGGATGAGGAGGGCACATGCGGGGGGTATTCGGGGACCCACATCGTCCAGTTGACGTCAGTTTTTTGGCATCCAATCAAAAGTGGCCCAGCTCGAACTTTTTCCACCATCACACAAGGAAAAACATTTTTTTTTTGGATGGAAAGAGGAAAGAGGGGTGCCAAGTACACCTTGCTGAGCAGTCAAATGCATGTCTATCAAGGAATTGACTCACCTATACTACAGGCTATATTTGTGGCCCAGTGCTTACCTCATTTGCACGTCTCAGTCATTCTCAAATTTACAACTTTTTGAGTCCAACATAAATATTTCGAAGCCCACAAATCCTTTACTCACGGTAGCTGAGAAGAGGTGAGGTATCTGTGCGGATGGGTGGTACACATTCATGGGGCTATGCGACTAGGGTTGACGGCGCCACTCTTGGAAAAGTGCGCGCCGGAGGGCGCCTCCAAAACTGCCATTGATGCGCGCCAGGGGCGCCATTTTTCGCAGTAAAAAAATGTACATATTGTCTATTTTCCATGTTTTTTGATTTTTTAGTTTTTTTTTTTTTCAACCTCAATTTTTTGCCGCAGCAAAGTTTGACTTTGCTTTATCGGGTAGTCACAATCGGTGGGTGCCATGTGGCACTTCACACTATTCGGGGGTCGAACCGGGCTCTCGGGGGCCAAAAAATAAGTCCAACCAACAAGAAACCCAAAAAAATACAACTTTTATGGGCAGTTGATGGATGACCCCCCCCCGAAAAAGTTAGGGTTAGAAGTGCGCGCCACCCCCCCTTTTTCCAGATTTCATGCGCGCCAAGGGCGCGCGTGCGCGGCGCCCGCACATTGGCGCGCCGTCAACCCTATATGCGACACAGTCGGGCCCTCTTCTGATTATTTTTTTCCTGACCCAGCCAGTTACCCTCCATCCAGAACGAACAACTCCAGAAACGCTTTCATCCAATCCCCAATGTTCCCAAGACAACGGGCGAAGTTGGAAAACCGGCTGGTGGTCAATTGGTCCAACCAGCCGTAGAACCTACACGCGGTGAGCTCAAACTCACTCCACCAATTGAGTTTGTCAACAAGGCTAATTAGAAAACAAAAAATCTTAGCTCCCCTAAACCTACCTGGAAAACCTATCTCGCCCGTCCCTGCCACGTGAGTCGATCACCAACGTATCATTTGCCCGACTTCTTGAGAACTTTCAACTAATGACCTCAATTTACACCGCCCTCCCCTTTAAATCAGTATCCCAACCACAACTGAACAAGTACATCGTGCTTTTGAGCTCGCCTCAAATGCTCTTATACCTCCCGAACCACTCCCAATCCCACTCCCATCTCACCCCGTAGAACCTGCTACTGCTCCGGTCACTCAGGCTCCCCCAATACAGGCCACAATCGACAAGCATAGCCAAAACCAAAGCATTGATATCGATGGCACCGGTATGGTAGACGAAGAGGAGGAAGTGGGGGACGAGCAAGGTCTACTGGAGGATTCTGATGAGGTTCGGTCGATCAAGTCACGTCATCTGGCTCAGCTCACTCGCTTAATCCATGCTTTCTTATTTGGGGGAATTTTAAACAATGTCAGGATCTGGATATCATCTTAGAAGGCGACACCTCAGTTGCTCCTACGGCACCCCCATCACGTCCCTCAACACAACCCTTGCGTTTTGAAACTCCGCAAGACTCAGTTCCTTTGGTTCGATGTAATTAATTTTTCTTCAACTTTAAAAACTACCAGACGCGAGTCGACTGCTGAACACATCCAATCGAATTCCCCTTGTCTGTCCTAGCCAACGAGCAACTCAATGTTACCACGGAATACAAACCGCTTGAACGAGTCGACTTGAAGCTTGTCGATCCGGCTTCTCTCCTACCTCTTAAGCCCAGTCCTATGCCCGTCGCCCAGCCCACTCCATCTCCTCGGCACACCCCCCATCATAATAGCCACAACAGATTGCCCACCCCTGAGAATTTTCCGGCCCCAGGTACTCCTCCTCCTCAACCACCCGGAGAGCTGAAGCCACCCGATTTACAAGCCGACAATCCAGTGATTCCATCCGGTTATGATGACAAAGATGGGTCTGCATTGATGAACTTCGATTTCGATGCCCTCCCCGAAAGTGAGAAAGGTTGGAAAAAACCTGGTGCTCATCTTGCAGATTGGTTCAATTACGGCTTCGACAAAACCACATGGAGAACATATGTCATGAAACAGAAGAGGTTGCGCAAGGAGGAAGGCTGGGCTGCAAACCCGTTCGTGGTGTGTATTTTCTACTTGCTCAATGTTTGGTCTAGTTGCCCGCTAATCCATCACCATCTCGCAACAGGCTTTTGCCATGGGTAATGTAGAACAAGCCTGGGCAGGACTTCCTCCAGAACTGAAAGGTGTCATGATGGGAATAATTATGGGAAATTTGTTGGGGTCAAGAAACAACAATCATGCTCCACAAATGCCACGATCGGTACCTCCGATGATGGTGATGAATCCCATGATGCAGGGGATGGAGATGGGGGGATATGGTATGCAGGGAATGTCTGGTATGATGGCTGGGGCTAACCCACAAATGAACAGAGGACATAATCCAGGCCTGAATAATCAACATAATGAGGGTGCTAGTAGATGTCAGCTCTCGATTTCTTTCATTTTTCCAAATGTTGCTTCTGAGCCTTGTCTACACTCTTTCATGAACAACATTGGAATGTCATTACATTGGTGTGCAACTATTAGCATCAAACCAACCGTTGCGGCTTTTCTGGCGGCGGTGACTCGTTCACTCTCACTTGTAACCTTGTTTCTGAGTTCTATTCCTTTTCTACTTCAGTCATTAAGCAAGACCCAGGCGGTGCTTCTGAGCAGACAGAAGATTTGTCTGCCCTATACGGTGATGATATGGACCCGCGAGAGCAACACCATCATGAGCAACAAAGAATGCAGGACCAAATGCGACACATGCAGCATATGAACCACATGGGTATGGGTGCTGGCTTCATGCCTGGAATGGACCTCGCTGCAATGTTTGGGAACGTTGGTGACCACTTTACTGTTCTCTCACATTTTCCGTTGTTTTTCTATCTGTATCGTTGATGTAGGCTTGACCGAGTTCCTTGAAAATTGATCCTAAGATTACACATCATTTGCCTCTTTCACATCTAAGCCAGACCATCCGATGTTCATGAATGGGCCTTCGTTTAACGGGATGATGGAAATGCCACATATGCAGCATATCCCAGCACAAATGCAGCAGCAGCAACAGCAGCAGCAGCAGCAGCAAACACAACAACAGCCGATTGGACTTGGGCCCTCAATTAACATGACAAAGCCACCCAGCCTGAACTCAACACCCATCTTCACACCGGTCAATCCAGTTCAGACGATTCAAACGGGCACCAGGCCCAATTCGCCCGGCATTCTTCCCCCAATTTCGTCGTCTACGGCCGGCCCAGCAACCCATACGGCAACACCTGGCGACTCACCAGGTTTGTTAGCGATGCCTAGTCCTGCAAGCGCAAGAGGACGAGGCGCAAGGCCTGGGGGGAGGGGAAGAGGAAACACTCAAGCAAGTGCGTTTATGGCTGCCGCTGCCGCTCGTGGTTGGGGCAGGGTGATATCCGCCTCAAACTCTGTCACCACCCTGGCTCCTGTCCCCGCTATTCCTCTGCTGAGTCCCAAGATTGATCCGCCTGTCCAAGCAACGCTGGCTACTGCTATACCTGTGGCAACCACCCCGGTATCTTCGGTATCACCCACTACATATCAAAAGTCATAAGTCACTATTTTTTTTTCTTCGGTCCTGTTTCCAAGTTTTAACATTTATCATTAAGCTGATCTGGCCACCTGTATTTATTTTATGTCAGCAACTGAGTGTGCCTCCGTCCGACCAGTATCACCATTGCCATTGAACGTTCCTACAGGACCCCGACGTGCAGCGCCGGCCAGTGGCGCACCACCCCCAAGGGGACCCCATGGTGTGCCGGGTGGATACTTTGACAAGGATGCAGCGGGTGGTCGGGAAGATGCAGGACTGGACTACGGCGGTGGAGGAGGGGATAGTCCACGGGAGGATCGCAAATCGATCAGTCGGCGACACAGTCACAACAGTGAACGAGACAGATCCGAGAAGGATTCTCAACGGTTTGAGAGAGGCGAAGATCCTGCAGACAGGTCTCGGTCAAAATCGCGGGATAAAGAGCTCGTTGACGAGAAGGAAATCCTGCATAAATCCTCCAAGTCTCGCCATCGACATCGGGCCCGGTCCAAATCTAAGGACCCTGTCGAACATCGCAGTAGTTGTGAGAAGGGCGACAAGGAGAAAGACGAGACTGGTCATAAACCTAGCAAATATGCTAATGGGGAGAAGGAGTCGGCGGAGTCGTCAGGCGACTGAGGGTGATGAGAGAGATGATGCGCGTTTGCCCCATGAGGCTGGTGAAGAACACGACAAGGAGAATGAGCGGGATCGTGATCATGATCGTGAAAAGGATCACTGCAAGCATCAGGACGAGGATGATCATGCTGATGGGGATTATTCAGCGCCAAAGTGAGTCCAACGACCCTTGTGCTATGCAACACTTCCGTGGCTGTTATCTCTTCCCCTTGATACTTATTTTTGAATCTGATTCTCTAGCTCTGGCTCTTGTAAACAAAAACCGAAAGAAGAGCGGAGCAGTCGAGCAAAGAGGGAACAAGCTGATTGATCAATTATTCTCTCTCCGTTCATCTGTCTCATCACTCTCTTCTCTCCTCCTTGTACACACAACATTGTCTTTGGTCATGGAAGCACACCTCCCTATTCTTATTAATTATTACAATAATTGGAGAATGAAAAATACACCGGGCGTGATGAAGCTTGCTGGTTTGATTTTTTTGCTTGTTTTTTCTGGTTTGTCTCTCTTCTTTTCTTTCTTTCTGAAAGTTCACATAATCTGCCCCCCCCCGCCCCCCCTCCCCTCGAAATTAATTGATATGATGCTTTGGGGAAAAAAATGACTGTTTAACTTCCAAGGAAGGAGGTGGCAAGAGAGACAATAAAAGAGGTATTTGACTTCTCTTATCATCTTTTTCTTTTGGTTAGTCAACGTGTTTAATCAGTAGTAATCTAGGACTAGCTGTGTTTGCAATAGCTTGAAGAGAGGGGGTGTAAACCATCCATGTTTTAAACATGTGTTGTTCTGCTAAATACAATCTGGTGATCAATCAACCAAACACATTCTACTGATATTCTTTCACAAATTTTGAATAATATTACGTGCTCTTCTTTACTCTTGCCATTGGACAGGCCTTGTGTACTTTGATGATAATCATTAATTTTCACAACTTCTCTTAGAAAAAAAAAGGTGTTTTTTTGGATTGTTTTCAGTCCAGAGTAGAAACCCAAGATAAATATCTAAAATAGTGAATTGCTGCCTAGTGATACACATGTTGTGGTAAGACCAATCAAAACCATAAAACATAATGTATAGAATTAGTAATAGAAACTATATTTACAAACTTAGACATAGAAGCTACAACATAAAGGATACCATATGAATCCTTTAAAGCTCAAATCATCACATAAATTCTTCATAATATTCAATAGAATATTACATAATGTATATCTATAAGTTATACAAGAAAGACTGAAAAGTTAATAAGTTAATTATTAAATTAATTATAGAAGATTAGTCCTTATCATACAGCATTACTAGATCAAGAGTGAACCTCTAAAACTATTCTCAGATTGATCATCCTCAAAGGGGAACTTACCTGTGGGAGATGAGAAGGATTGTTACAAGAGGATTTGGAGTTGGTGCTGTGGATGAAAACCATTGTTGTGTATAAAGTAAGGGGATGTTGAGCCTGAGGTTGGTTTGGGATGAAGAGGCTGGAGAGCCTGCATTGGAAACAGGCTGGAAGGCTCAGTGAGAGATGGGGAGCTGGACAATGAAGAGATGGGAGGGAATGAATGTGGACCTTACATACTGGAAGAGGAAGCCAGGAAACAGTGTGGTGAGGCCCTTTTTTTCCAGGGGGGACCCCATTGACCCCCCCCCCAAGCACAAAGGAAAAGCTTGGCTGTTGAGGTGTGCACCCTCAGCAGGCTGAGAGTGTATACACTCTTGGCTGTTTCTTGGCTGTTGAGAGGCACACTCTCAGTTGTTGAGAGGTACACTCTCAGCTGTTGAGAGGTACACTCTCAGCTGTTGAGAGGTACACTCTCAGCTGTTGAGAGGTACACTCTCAGCTGTTGAGAGGTACACTCTCAGCTGTTGAGAGGTACACTCTCAGCTGTTGAGAGGTACACTCTCAGCTGTTGAGAGGTACACTCTCAGCTGTTGAGAGGTACACTCTCAGCTGTTGAGAGGTACACTCTCAGCTGTTGAGAGGTACACTCTCAATGGCCAAGAGTGTACACCCTGAATGGCCAAGAGGTACACTCTTGGCTGTTGAGAGGGTATGTACACTCTCAATGGCCCAGAGGTGCATGTGCTCCCAGCGGCTAGGAGGGAATCCTCCTGGTTGTCAGGGGCTGTTTTTAGTTTGTGAATCCCCAAAACCCAGTGGTTTTTGGGACATCAACTCCTTACCCATCCAGGGCATTTATTTTATTTAAAATGATTGGGGATCTGACTCCCAAACCCGCTGACGGGTTTTGGGGATTGACTTCCAATAATCAGGGAATCCGGGGGAAATTCTGGGGGTTTGGGAGTCTGGGAGTTGACTCTCCAACTTTTGGGATTCAATTAGCCAAGCCCTTAATTTCTGAGTTCAAAACCCAACCAAGTAATAGACGAGCAACCGCTTGACACCTTAGGAACAACGAGCTGTTGTGAGTACACGCAAGTGAGGAAGTCTTATGACAGACGAAGTAAGCACACCTTAGGAACAACGAGCTGTTGTGAGTACACGCGAGTGAGGAAGTATTATGACAGACGAAGTAAGCACACCTGTGGACAATGAGGGTGAGACAAATGCAGATGAGCTGAATTGAATTGAAATGAGAAACATAAACAAAAAGAGAATGAAGATTCATAATGAAGCGAACCTTAGGAACAACGAGCTGTTGTGAGTACATGCGAGTGAGGAAGTCTTATGACAGACAAAGTAAGCACACCTGAAAGATTGATGAAGAGAGAAAGGATGAGTCAGAGATGAAAGATGAAATGAAAGAAGTGAAACAAAGAAGAAATACTGCCAAGGCATACCTGTGGACAATGAGGGTGAGACGAATGTGGATGACTTGAATTGAATTGAAATGAGAAACATAAACAAAAAGAGAATGAATATTACAACTAGTAGAAGAGAGACGAGGTTGTAATGAATTCTGCAATTAGGTTTGAGTTTGAGATTTCAACTTTATCTATCACTGAGTCCGCAGCACCCTGCCCATAGGCTTTCCGGAGTTGGCTGTAGTTCAATACCAAGGAGTCAAACTTTAAAAAAATGAGAAGGCTCCCTGTTCAATTCCCAACCTCAGCCAAATCTAGCCACAAGCTGGAATAAACATAAAAAATGTATCAAAGTTTATTATCATTATTCTATCATTTTATTTAGTGGTTATCATACAGAACACAATAGGTTTAATTTTGCTTCATTGACCCCCAAACCCTGGTTGACTTTGGAGGATTGACTCCCAAACCAACTGGGGTTTTCTTTTTCTTGAATAATTTTGTTGAGGGAGTTGACTACCAAACTAGTCAAAGGTTTTGGGGTTTTGACTCCCAAATTTCAGGAACTTACTCTTCAATTTTTGGGAGTCTTTTAACCAAGCCCCTTTGTTTAGTTTTTACAAATTTCAAACCTTTGTTTTTTGTTGTTATTTTTCATATTCATTGTTGGGGGTCTATTATGAACCATTTCACCAATATCTATCAGTGACTACAAGTGGAAAAATGGTGTGGTGGAAACTTCTGTCTAGCCACTGTACATACCCTAAGGACATTGCGTACATGAGTGTTTGAGATTTGTGTTAGGAAGGGAAAGGGTTCCTTCCACAAATTCTACCTCCAGTATACTACCATACATTGATAGAATGGGATGAAAATGTTGGTAACCAAGGAAAGGAAAGAAAACAACTTTGATTGAATTACCAGAACTTGGATACAGGATGTTGACAAAGGAGACTTGATTGAAAGAAAAGTGTTGAATTAGTGGGACCAATGTCCCCTTGTCTGGATAATTTGACAAAAAATCCATTGAACCAGATAAAAAGTCCCAGCATAGTCAAAGAACAGTTGAGAGGTGGCTGAATCTGTGGAACTACCTTTTGGGGAGAGATTAATGCTTAAACAACTGTCTCTCTGGGGCTGAAAGATTGATTTAAACAACAGAAAGAGTATCAAATCTTGAGGAAAGGCTTGCATGATGGAAGTGTAAGACTTTTTATCTTAATGGCAATATACAATGTATGTTTCATTTAGACTGTGTATTTGGCAAGCAGGTACAATAGGAATAGGAGTAGATTCATACTGACCAACCCCGAAATTGACAAGTACTTCTCCATGAATTCTGAGCCCCAAAAAATCACACCAAATGAATTCCAAAAGTGTACACATCAGAACACAATCATCTGTACCCTGTAATCTACTACTTCCCAGTCTGATCCAAACCTTAACTTTCTTGGTTGATTATCCTGCAGTGTCCATTTTCAAACAAAATAAACACAAATGATGCATAGTTGTACATATTAGGTGGTATCAAATAACCAAATGCACCATTATTCAATTGACTGGCTTGAAAAAACTTCCAATGGTGAATTTCCTATATTTTATACCCCCTATTCAGGATGGTCAAAGCTGGCCTGCATGCATAAAACCTCATATTCTTGAGTTGTGGTTTCTTCTAGAGCTGGTCTCTGGATATCCGTTGCGGATATCCGTTATCCGCTGGCGGATACCCGCCCGCTGTAGCAGATACCCGCCAGCGGATGCGGGTTCGGGTGCGGATGTGCCCTTTCCGCTGATTTTCCAGCGGATACCCGGGTATCTCAACGGATACCCGAGGCCGGAAGGGCAGATGGCCGGCTGGAAGGATTTCCTTCCAGCTGTCGAGGTACTTGACGGCTGGAAGGAAATCCTTCCAGCCGCCTCGCCGGCCCTTTAAAGGGCGGGTATCCGTGGATACCCGCTGCGGCCGACGGATACCCGCTAGCGGGTGCGGATGCGGATGCGGATGGCCATTTGGCCTGAAAAAGCAGCCGGATATCCGGATGCGTAGCGACCAGCTCTAGTTTCTTCCTTTATCTTCATCAGACTTGAACCAAGAATGAAAATGGTCCCATTTTGCTCACTTGTCAGGCTGAAAAGCTGTGTGCCCTGTTTTCTGGTAGGATTTATGACAATCCACTTCTATTTTACCCAGGTCTTTTTCTCAAACAAATTGAGCCCTGAAAACTGTGTCATGATGTATCTCAACAAGCGGCCAGTTACTCTAATAGTAGTGCTGTCCCAGCACAGTGTAGCAGAATTCTGCTAAAATTTAGACTAGTGCAGCAAAATTCCACCACGTCTATGCTGATGCTATGCGCACAGGTGTATCATACATGGGGGTGATCATGTCAATTTCAAACTGTGACCAGAGAAACTGATGTAAGCAGCCTCCAGCCAAAATTCTTCTATACATTCATATATCAACTTTGAAGCTCCCAATACATTCTTGATGCTTGCTGCAAACAAACTTGGCATCATTTGAAGAAATATTCCAAAACCTAATTGCGGTACAGTTTAAGTTATAGCTTCACTTGTGTAGGACCTTGCAGATGGTGTTTATCAGTTAAGTTCTGTCTGATATGAAATTTTATTCATCTATACAAAAAAAAAACTGAGTACCCTTATAAGTGATTGAAATAAACATATTTGGGCTCTGTAAGTCAGTTGCCTTTGTTGTAATTGGTGGTACTCCAAATTGTCCCATAGTGAAATTCAAGAGGGGTTCACAAAGTGGTGCTATACCAAAACTTGTTTCTGAATTTATCTTTCTTTACAAAAAAGCACTATACTGGTGTAGCACAGTTTTCTTCTGGCTAACAATTTCAAAATGTAAGGGAATGAAATTTACATCTATCCTTCTGATGGCTAACCATATTGAAGCATGGGTTTCCACCACCAATTTGAGCATGGCTGTATCATGAAATGCCACCTATTCATCACTTTTATCTCCTATGAGCTACTTCAGAACTCTATTGGTTCTGGAGTTGCTCCTAATTCCAGCTGCTAGTTTCTAGTAAAGCCATAGTTCCTCATATCTATTACACACCAAATAAGAGAAACTTACAAGAAGGACATACATTTGGGGAATAAAGAAGGTGGGATATTTGATCCCCACTCACCAGGCCAAAACAAAGGCAATGAGCACATTTTGCCTTCATTTTTGAGCCAGTTACTACAGATGAAGGTGAGACCACCAGTATCCACAAATTAACCTTTTAGAAATTTCTGTGGTACCAATAGTCTTCATTTTTCAACCAACACCACCCATGGCTTACATTCCCCTTCAAGAAACATCTTGTTAGGTTACAATAACACTTTGTGAGCTATCAGATAGAGGATAAGCTGGGGATAAAGACAATTTGGCTACTCACTAAAACAAGGCAGATCATCTGAATCTCATACATCAAGGACCCACACATTGGCAAGTAGCTTTGACCAAAAAATTCATCAATCTTTCAGCCATTTTACAAAGAAGTCTAACCTGAAAAAAGTAAAAACCTTTGAGTTTGCTTAACAAAGCCTCATCCCCCTTAGTGTCCACATGTGATACTCACGGTAGGCGGACTTGTATGTCAATTTGCATCATTGGTCCAGACAAAAAGGATTCTGAAGCCCAAATTTGCAAACTGAAAGAAAACCCTGTACACCTGCTTGCAGTTGACATGCAAAATATTGCAGCCGTATTTGTCAGTTTTCTGTGCAAGCGTAATATGTGTGGAATCCACTGAAATTCTGTCAAATGTTACAGGTATTTCACATGTCATGCTGCTACATTGCACTAACCACTAAGGCCTAGTGCCTACAATGATGGCATAAGTTTTCTTTCAGTGGCACAACCAGGTCCAGAATTCAAATCAAAATCAAGTAGCACCTTAAAATTCTGAATGGAAATGATTTGAGGCTGGGGTTTCAAATCTTGGCCACTCTGCTCCTCTCTTATGTTGTTTATGGAGGGCTGTATGTCCAAAAGAGGAATTGGTTCAATCTAAATGGATGGGCCCCAATACACAAGACTACAGAGTACAGTGCCCCGGGGCTCTTCTGTGTAACCCCGCGCCTGCAAAATTATTTTTGAACTTTGACTGGTATGTTTGTCCGCTCAAGTGAGCCTACATGTGTGTACTCTATGTTTTTGGGCTCTACATAAGGGGTAGAACCCAAATCTACAACCACAACTCAGTAGCCGTAATAAAAAAAAGTTTCAATTTCTTTTTTTTCAGATTTGGAACATCCACCCAGGAGTGTCACAATATGGAGTTCTAGGTATATACTATGGATTTATTCAGTATGTAGTATGCATATATACAGGTGTTATGTGCATATTAGGTGAGAAATAAAAAAGAAAAGCCATCGGATCAGTTATCCGGAGCAATAAAAGCTGTACAAATTACATCAAAAATCGAAACCACAACATCCATAAGGAAAGAAAGTGAGAATCTTGCAAAAAAAACAAGAGAAGAGCAGTTTTTTTTTTTGAAAATAAACTGGAAATTCCAAAAAAAATGAAAATCTTGTTTTGGAAATTTGGAACACCCCCTGACGGGGTAGCACAGAAGAGCCCCGGGGCACTGTACCAATAAAAAAAATTGACAAGTTCTTCTTTAATATTTGCTCTGGGGCAGTGTTGTGAATTTTGTTGGCAAGCCCAAGAAAATCTTCTCAATCAAAATCAGATTCCTCTCACAGCCAAACATCTGAATTTATAACCAAGTCAGACCCCCTGTGGGTGAGCTTTCAATTGCAACAGCAGATGACACTAAAAGTCCCAGGTGAAGAGGATTGAAAAAGTAGCTTTGGGAGGAGACACTGGCTTTGGTGCCAAAGATATTCAGCTAGGAAAATCAATTGTATGGCAAGAACAGGATCAAAACCCACCATATTGGTCTGTGGATATTTCCCCAGCTACAAGGTTTGAGTCACATTGGCCATCTTTGATCTCAACCCCTCTCCCCAATCTGTCCACATTGCTCTCTAACGCAACATTTTACAGTGGTATGAAACTCGTCATCCCATGGATCCGTGCAGGCAAGATTAATTCACAAACCCCTGGCCCCTGTACATAAACCATGGAGCATGTCCAACAAAGCTCGGTACGGATGACGAAACTTACAGCTTCTCATACACGCCTGGGCAAGTGACAGCCTAGTGGCAGTCTAAAAGTACATACACAGCTGATGAAGAGGGCTTTGCAATTATTCTTGCAGGTGGCGCGAAAGAGTCCAAACGAGAACAAATCGGATGCCACATGTTCGGTTTTTTTAGGGGTTGGCCATGTGCATAACCTGATTAATGTGATTTGATTAATTCACGCCGGCCCCGGCCCGCCTTCATGTCCCATACGAAGTGCACCTGATTACACTCGCCAACCAAGCCGAGACTTGATCAGGATCAGGCACCATGGCCCGAGAATGGGATGACTGCGAAACATCCTGGACCCAGCTTGGCGCCCTTAATACGATCCGGTCATGCGGCCTTGGTTCCTGGGGTAATCTATACAGGAGAGCCTCATCGACACACACCCAAATACACCTTTAACATGCATTTACATCACATTTTAGGCCGTGGTCAGTTGAACTTTGTGCTTGTTTCATTGCCAGTCGATGTCTACCGGCTGGTTTTCGTGTATTCTATGTAACTGCAGTCATTCGAGCTCATTCGATGCCTGCCCATGACTGCTGCTGGAGAAATATGACTCAGAGCATAGCAGCCATACTTGAATGCTACGTGTTCATAAGTGCATAAAAGCGATGTATGAACAGCGATCTAACACTCCTCTGCTCATGAATAGGTGATGTAAATTTCCAGCGCAGGATATGTATAGGCGAGGATATGTACCCGAGGGTGGTGGTGGCTGTTACTTCCAGGGCCATGAGTCTCTTCAATTGACTACATAGCGATTGAGTGAGAGTGCCGTTTGGGGGAAGGCTGCTGGAATACTTCTGATGAAGATGTCACTCTCAGCCGGATGACGACTTCCCTCGGCCGTTCGTTGCCATTAGCTTAATGGTCTTTCCAGGCATCAGTATGTGGTCTCTCTCCATCCCTGAGCTTGCAGGCTGAGTGGGGTGATTTTCGGAAACATAATAAGATATTCTATAAGCTAGCTCCCACCCAGTCTCCATCTTGTCTCCTCTTCCGCGCCCTGCACGTTTGGCACTGCTCTCCCTCGAATTGCCCGTTGGTCTATAACCATTCAAACTATTTCATCGAGATTGCTAAAAAAAACACATCCGCGCCTGTCAGTTTCCTCGCTCCCGATCCTTCTCTCCCCAAGAAACGTCCTGCATAGTCTTATTTTAATTCAAACCACCCAGTCAGCAAGAGCCACCAGGCCCCCAGGGCAGCATTGTAGGGCAGCCTCAAGAGCTCGAGCGTCCTGATCTACTTTCAAGCAAGCGCATTTATCGCCAAGCAGACTGTCATAGCTGCTATCCTCGAGTATTAAAGCCTTCGCCCCATCAGCCAGAACGACTTCCATTCCCCCCCATCCATACCATCAACAATCCACTTCGCCACCACAAGTTCCAGCCCTTAAATTCCCACCAATCCTCTATCCCATTACAAATCTTCATCATGGCCTCATCTCCCACCCAAGAAGCCCACTCCCTTTCCACTTTTCACTGGCTCTTTTCTGAGGAAATGCCAGATGAATCTCTTCCCCAGTTCTTCCCGAGGGTTCTTGACTGTCAGTGTTGTCTCCCTGGGCGTGTCCAACTCGTTGCTTTTTTCAAGTGTGACTGATATTTGTTTACTCCTCAACCCTTTTGACCAATGCTGCCCTCAAGTCGAGCAATCAAGCACCCAGCCGTCTCACGGTACCCCATTCCGGCCGGGGCCTCGGTACAGGCGAGATCAGTCCTACCAGGAGGATTCCAGTCCGATCTACGACCCGGACTGTTCTCCCTGCTACTATCCCGATTCACCTCAGTGGGCTCCCGGACCCATATCGCAGTCCATTTCCAGCCCTCAATGGGTTCCCGGACCCACATCGCAGTCCATCTCCAGCCCGCAATGGGCTCCGGGACCATCATCGGGGTCCATTTCCAGACCCACCCTGCAACTTTCGCAGGCCCCTGAGCTGCCCTTCGAATGCCAAGGTCGCAAGAGGCACACCGAGTCACCTCAGGAAGCTGATCAACGGCCGCGAAAGTACGCTCGACCATCAGACTCTCGATCGGACAGTCACGTCGACAGTGAGAAGCCTGATGGATCGGCTGCCGGAACACCTCCGACTACGGCCACGCATTCGTTACACTCCTCAGAGTCCCCGAGTAGCTCCAGCCTGGCGTGCTTTGATCACATCAAAGAGATTCAAAGACTAAGGGCTCAACTTGTGATCAGCGAGTCGAGGAATGCGCGAGCCATGGCTGACCTGGCGGAGGCGCGGCTCTGCGTCGATTTCTTGATGAACGAGGTTGGTAGGGTCATGGGATCTACTAGTCAAGCTCATCCAGCTGCGGAAAGAGTCCGACAGATAATCAGCAGCAACACCGAACTCCGCGTCCCACTCTTTACCCGAGCCTCACCGGAGATGACTACACTCGCGGATTCGCAGCAGGATGCGCTGCCGGTGGTTGATAATGCCGATGCGGCCTGGAGCGAGGACCTCGATCCGAGGAATCCTAACTCCTACTACTTTTCTGAAATCCCGATGGCTGGCCCATCGACGCGACCCGGGTCTATCTCCTTGGCCGAGTCCTCACAGTTAGCACCGATCGGGGGCTTCCAAGGCTATGGATCCATGACATCGGTCGGCGGCGAAGGCTCGACTAGCTATTCGGAGATGGTACGAGAGGCTTCCCTCGATTACAGATCAACATCTTCCCTAACAGAGCCCGGTCGAAGTCGGGATCCCAGCGGAAGCCAACTGGTGCCAGATTGGAGTCATACTCGGGTGGACTCGTACTATTTCTCGGAGCCACTGCCTCCGTTTGATTCGGCTCAGGAAACCACCCGCGAAAGCTATGCTCCAAACTATGAGCTGCCGGCGACCCGTTACAGTTGAAGTGGATATCTCCCCGCTCGATTAATTATCTTTCTTTCGATTTGTTATAAGTAATATGTATTTTAGGAATAGTAGGCAGTAGTGTTAAGTAAATTATTTTATCAGTTAACGTTCCCCCTCCCCTGCTGCCCCCCCCCCCCCGCTTGCATTGTCAACAACTATGCAACAACCTGGGCCTCATTAGTTGCAGCGCTTGAAACCTCGTCGGCAAAACTTTCGATCGGATTGTAATCAGTGAGCTGCGTGTTTCCACTCCATATCGGAGAACCCCAATGGGATATAAGGGAAATTTGAATCAGTTGATAAGGTACTCTTAGGAAGCGTCTCGTAACGACATTGCTTTTATCATGAAGCGTGCACATATAGCATAAGTGTACCTAATAAGATCGAAGTGCTCTAGCTGATACCCGTTTGAAAAGTTCTCGAAGGAGTGCGACTATTTATCTCAGTGAGATCGATATGCCCTTAATGTTCTTAGGACTCGTCTAGAAGATCATTGAGGAAATACCCCCCACTAGACAAGAGATTTATTTTCGTATTTCCCGATCAAGGCAACTACTTGGCCTACAATTTCTTATGATTAACACACGTGACTGAGTAGCCTGCGCTAGGCCAGGAGCTTGACCCACATCGTTCTTGACAATCCACACGGGACCAACCCACGCATGCTTCCTAGTATCGAACTCTTTTCAATGCCCTCCGCCTAGTCAAGAACGAATCGCACGAGGTGAAGTTGAACAAATGCGGCGAAGGCTCGGTCAGCCATTCGGAGATGATATAAGAGGCTTCCCAAGGGCACATTTTAAGCCAATCAACATCTTCTCTAACACAGGCCTGCCGAACTCAGGATCTCAGCGAAAGCCAACTGGTGCCAGATTGGAGTCATACTCGCGTGGACTCATATGTACTATTATTCGGAGCCACAACTTCCGTTTGATTCAGCTCAGGAAACCACCTGCGAAAGCTATGCTCCAAACTATGAGCTGCCAGCGACCCGTTACAGTTGAAATGGATATCTCCCCGCTCGATTATTTATCTTTCTTTCGATTTTTCTCAAGTATTATGTATTTTAGGAATAGTAGGCGCACATATAGCGCCCACTGACTAGGAGGCTGCGGCCCCAACAGCCTTTACGAGGATCATCACTTTAGATTGTTTTCTTCTTCGTTAGCACAAAGGCAATGTAGATCATCTGGTATATCTACCGGTAGCTTTCCCTTTTTTCTGCTAAAAACTAACACACATCGCGCTAGCAGCAAACATTTGCCAGCTTATGAATAGAACGGTCTTTGAGAAACTAACCGGCGAAGCCCTCGGTGGCCCAGGAGCACTACTTGTCTCCTTTATCGTTGAATAACTATCTTCACGATTTTCGGTATCACGATCAGTACGCCTCATCACCCCCATCACCACCAACCTAACTGGCGGAACGCGAGTGATCACTATTCCCAAGTAACCAAATCGAACGTTCTCATTCCAAAACATAACACATTCTTCGTAAACAAACCCAGCGGCCGGAGCAATCACTATCGGCGAGAAACATTCAGAATTCTGCAACGGTCGCCCCGAGCTTATACCTCTTCATACTTGCAATGGCAACAGAAATTAGCGAGAGCTGCGATAGCCTGTATTTAAGCCGTGCTGAGCATACATGCGTACAAAATTTGTTGCGAACCAGTCATTGGTACCGAGCGCAAGCCTCCCCCGCAATGACAAAGTCCTCGTATCCACGAAATGATCATTGCAATTTGCAATCGTTTTCTAGCTGATGATGTGCCTCGATTTTTGGAGGGGGGACGCCGTCCCACTTGGAAGGGTTCCTTCGGGATGGCGTCCCCCCTCCAGATACGAGGGACTTTATTGAGTTAGGATCCGTTTCCCGATCGTGAACGTTGAGTAACTCCAACTTCACTGATATCTTCATCCGGAAGTGTGAATGAGCACCGAGCTTACCTACACATAAGACTGCTTAATGCAGTGCAATTATCGTGTTTGAGGAAGGTTTTCCCCGGTTGAATCTCCTTGACATTGTCCTTGAGCCGAATTGTGGCTGGCGGCGATGAGTCCCGGCGGTTACCCTTCCGGATCTCACCAGAATAACATCGACTTCGTGAGGCGCTCTGCAAAGACCGAGAATCGGTTTGCCTTGAGCAGATCACACACGAAGAGTGAAGAGATTTTCAGAAGTATGCACGATACCAGAGAGGCGACATCGCATTGGCGATGGATATGCTGGTTGTGAGCACAGTACCTTCGCATCTCATGCCTTAAAAGAGCTCTCTTCGAGCTTCCCAATTGCTTGGTCATCATCCAGTTCCACTCCTCAAGTCGCATTGTGTCCTGTATATAAACCTAGATCCTTAGAATTGCGCAACACCACAGCTTCCATATATCGACATCATGCTTAAAACTGCATTTTCCATTCTTTTAACACTCTTGGCCGTCGAAACGGCGACAGCTGCCCCGTTCGGTGATCGTAACTCAACCGGTCAGATTGGGATTTTGTTTTGGCCTCATGACGCGTCTGAAGCATCGATTCGCAGCTTACTGAGATGATTTCTTTTCTGCATTCGATACGATGACCAGGCCCCCAACCTTTCCAAGAAAAACCTTGCTACATGACCGGCCGCCACAATGTTCCCCATGGCGTGATAATCAACACACACGTTCAATGTCTGGAGGGTGTAAGACAACTTTCTGTTTTTCATTTGCTGCTTCTATTTCAACAGCTTATCTGAAACGCTTTTCCTCTCGTGATGTTTTTGCAGAGCGGACCTTTCCATGATATCCCAGACGTCGTGTATGACAATATGCAATACGTCAGTCCACTTCTTCCAACTACAATGGAAGTATTCCGATAAAGATTCAATTCTAACAGAGGTTTTTTTTATCAATTCAGTCGGTTTATGACTATCAAAAATATCCCAATTTGAGTCCAGTAGGATTTGCCTTGGAGTATTTCACCCCGCACAAGCGAACTAAATCGATAACCAAGGCCCTTGAAAATTTGATGGTACTATACGGGGCAACAAATGCTGGCTTGCGGAGTTGGGGTGAGGCAAGGAGCAATGATGTCAAGAAAATCAAAGGGTGAGCTTCAGTTGACAAAAAGCTTCAAAATCCGTTCTCAGTCATTTATTAACCAAGAACACAACCTCCTCAACCCTCAAGTCCCTCTTTCTATCTCGCCTTTCAACATGCCATATCAATTGAGAATTTAGAATTGGCGGCAGATCAGCTCAAAAAGGTACGACAGAATAGCAAAATGCGATGACACAAAGATCCATCCAAAGTGACCAATCCAACTGATTCACCATTAAATATAGGTATTGAAGAACTGTGTGGATTGCAAACATGGAGAAAGAGAGCGGGTGATCAAGATTGCTCGCCAAAATAATGTCAAAGTACCCGAGTCCCTTGAGTCCGACTCCCAGTCCCAGTCCCTTCACTCCCAGTCCTCCCTTATCGACTCTCAATGAATTGCCAGAGGACGCGACCGAGCTCAGATTAAAACTTCATCAATGCTGTTTGAGCAAAGTGACACTTTCTAATCAATCGGACTTTAAATTCCTTGTTTTTACGTTTTTTTTTTCTTCCCCCTCGCAGTCTTGAGTCATATAATCCTAGGACACTTTTTCAAGAAACCACATTGCTTCATACTAAGAAGACAACCACTTCAATCATACTAACTCACTTTCCGAATTCCTTGCGTGTTCTCCTGCATCTGATATCCATGTATCTTTTCTGTTGTAGGGTGAACCCCACCTCTTTGCATGAATAACGAGTTAAATAGACACTTTACAGAATTTAGGCAATCCAGATCAAAAAACACAAAAACATTTTTGACTAAAAAGATTTAAACTGAGTGAAGTCTGCAAAATGAAAGGAGAGAAAAATCCTACAGAAGAAAGGTGATTTTCTCTTGTTCAATAAGCCGATGTCACACCGAGGTCCTGAGTTCCAACCACACCGTGCACCGTCATGGGTGGAAGAGAAAGCTCTCTTGAGCATGGAGTTCGCTGGAACACATGTGCGAATTAATTCCTTGATCATGAATGAATTACTTTGCCCGCCGAAATCTACCAGCGGGCGCCCACACCCGTCATTTAAGTCGGTTCCTCCCGGTTGATCAGGCTGTATAACCAAGTGGATTGAACAGGAGAAGTTCTTCCCAGGAATACAGCCTTGTTTGCCGGGAGGAATCACTCCCGGGGGTTGAAGGCTTCCGGGACATACTCCTCCTGGTCCATCCGGTTGCGCAGCCTGATCGACCGAGAGAAGTTCTTTGTTGAAAGAGGTACATACATAGCAGGCACGCCGAACGCAAACGATCCGCTGGGAAGGCTTCCATTACTTAGAAGTTAGTGTAACTTGAAACCTATCCCGAGAGATGGGCCTCTCTTTCTTGAGGAAAACGTCCCTCATCTAGATCTGATTGGTCACTTTAAACCAACAGGTCTTACAAAAATTAGAGCTTCTCATCAAACTCTCAACCAATGCGAGTTTGCATCCCAGTCCTAATGGTATGAGAACGATGTCGGACAATGTGTTATACGAAAATCATCCGAGCTTCCAACATGCTCTTGATTCGGTTTGAGATTTTCCTTCCCATACCATGATCGCCTATGTTCATGGATCATCAGAAGATAGAGCCCCTCCCCCTCCCATGTGCCTCAACAACCGTAACTGTATGTTGTGCTCTTAAAACAATTGTCGCGAAGACCAAAAGTAGTATATATATACCTTCTCATCATGACTCTGAAATCGCTCCGCGTTGAAGTTGAACCAGCTCAAAAAACAGCTCTTGGAATCCACATATCTTATTGATACTTCTTGGATTTTAATTATACCTTTCCACCCTTTTCTTGATTTTTATTTTTTTGCTTCTTGTTTGCTAAATTTGTTCGATCGATCTGGTGTCGTTCTTCTTGGAAGTGATTGAATCATATCAAGATGCTCTTCAACGCGCTCAACTTGATCCTTCTTTGCGCAGGTATGTATGTATGCATGAAGTCTGAGTAACCAAAGACGAGTGCTCGCTGTCGTTTTTCCCAATCCCATGTTTATAGCCGACTAATTATTTTTTTTTCACCTTTAACATTGTACAATATAAGCAGGTCTGCAGCTTTCCGTCAGCGGCAGTGGATTGGCTTCGAAAGAGTACATATGCGTCTATCTTATCACCTTCAACGATACATCTCAGCTCCCGAGATTCATACTGAAACTATTTCTTTTAACATGATCTTAACGAGGATAGTGAAGCCCCAGATAAGCGATCTAAGTCTCCTCGGGGCGCGATCCGTCGACGCATACTAGATGGCAGTTTAGCTCAAGTTAATGATGATGATGACAGCAACCTCTTCCTCCAGGGCTGGTCTTCCCTGGTCCCGGAGATCAGCTCCTGTCGGAGTACGTTTGAGCAGAACGCGCCTGTCGAGGTGGCCATCCAAGCTGCCGCCTCTTTGGCTTCTAAGATCCAAGCAATCAGCTTTCAATACGGACAATGTGCTTGCAATCATCAAATCCATGGAGATCAAACAATCGTTCGTACTTGCCTTTCTTTTCTTTCTCTTTTGTTGAAGTGGTCATCTTCTCACATTTATATCAGTCCGATTCTCTTATTTATTGACTTAATCATTCTTTCATAATCACCACCATTTTCAGTCTGAGTTTAGGACGCTGCTCGTCCAGTTTTTCCTCGGCTTGGGCTTCGTATTGAAGGCTGGCCTACAGCACTACCAAGACGCATGGTGCAGCACCTTCAAACGTACGCTACCCCCTATTTATCACCCCCCCCCCTAAACCAAGGATTATTTTGACGTGATACAATCAATTTGGCTTTAATTATGTATGTGGAAAATCTGATCGATTCGGTGGATGTTTATAGCGATTTTCCGGCAGTGTGCGGCAGCATTTATCAGTCTGAGGGCAATCTCCGACGCGCTTAAGCTCGACCTTGGAGCCATACTAGGTCAGGTGAACTTGGATCCTGTGGCGTTTTTGACTGTCGACCTGAACATGGCCAATCTATTGGGGATCAATCTTTCATTGGGTGAAATCCTTCATCTTTAATATTTAAATCTCTCCTCTGGACAATTTCCTTCTATGTATTTCAGCCAGTGATGTTTCTACAGAAGTGTGTAGACTGCTTCAGCTTATCTGATGGCTATTTGACTATGTATCATTCTGAAATGTTAAACATCTTAATTCAAACTTCGATATGTGAACAGGAGTTTACACCTTTTCAGGGTCTGTAATGCAATCCTGATTAGATAATCCAATCTGTGATTGTGATGTGACAGCTGTCCTGATGATGTGACAGGCGATGGCCCATCCAGCTTTCCTCCTGAGGGGAAACAGCCATCTTCGCTTCTTTTATTTTCTCCTCTCCTTTCCCATCAAAAACACTCAAGATGATCAAACCAAAACAACACTCAAACAAACCACACCACGAACAAGAAAAAGAAAACGAGCAAGAACAAGAATCAGGATCAGGATCATACCTAGAAGTAATAGATCCAAAGAACCACTCTCAGCTTAATCCAACTTCATCATCATCATCATCATCACCAATCGAACCACCTGGCTCACCTCGCTCAATAATCTCATGGCATCAAAGTGATCTAGTCTCAATCCCCAACTCATCACAACCAACCAGCGACTTCGATGACCGATCAGACGACGATGATCACCACAACCAACAACGACCAAATGCTTCATCTTCAGCCATCCAAACAGGAGAACAGCCATTTGATAATTACCCTCATCAGGCCAACCACCACCACCATCTCACCGCCGAACTACTCACAGCAATCACCGACCATCTCGTCATGCCCCGTCTGCCGATGATCCCATCCCCTTCAAATCAATCTAGTCGACCGGTCAGCTGTCGTGGTAGGAGCTCGACATCCGAATCAGCTGCTTCCCTTCACCATCATCGAAACAATGATAATAATACTACGAACAAACATCATCATCACTCCTATCGACCTACTCACTTCGATCCACTCATCTCACACAAGCACTCTCATCTCACTCAGCATCCTGCAAACTCACATCCCTATCCAATCTATCCTTCCAGAACCCTAGTCGTCGGTGAGGCCCACGAAGGACTAGGAATCGGACCACTCAGGGAGCTCCTATCATCCAGCTTCCTTACAAGTATCGACCGGACAGACGATATCTTACCTGACTTCAAGGTTCGTTAAAAATCATATGATTCTTTTCCAGATATCAGACTGATCATCTGGATATTAAAATCGTCAATAATATTATTATTACAAGTTCTCAGATCCACAGACCTATAACCAATTGATCCAACACCTCGAGGCCCCATTTTATCGACTGAAAGGCTTGCTGAATCCGAAGGCTTGCTATCCATATCAATCCTCATCGACCACTCCAGCCCGGCGGAACGATCTTCTCTGTCTAGTTGATCGTTGGATCGAAAGAGAAGGCTATCTGCTTCTATTGGTCGAGATAGATTTATTTCGTAAGTTATTGCCCCCCTCTGGATTTATTATTCAATGTTTCAAGTATTTCCTCCTAAGTGGTCATGGAATTTTCTCTTCTTCTTGGCTTCAGCTGTTCCACCAGTCAGACTAGAATTCCTCAGGACACTCTCCAGATTGATTCCGACCATCCCATTCATCCCGAGCACGGTATCTATCCCACAAGCGATTGATGGACATGCGATTCTCACCAGACAATTAGCCGCCAACAGGCTGCGACACTTTCCGATCCCCGATCCATCTTCCCCACACTCCTTTGCATTGCCCGAACGAGAAGAATGTGTGAAACGGAGCTCTCGAGCTTGTGTGGACTGGTTGGCGGTAGAATTCGCAAGCCATATCAGTAGCAGTAGCAGTACTAGTAGTCATGAAGCTGATCCGGTGGGAGGAGTAGAGCAGCGCAGGTTCGGTGGAGATGATCAAGGGACGGACGAGTTCGAGCCGGACAAGATCTCAGAACGGGTGGGCAGACGGCTGGCTAAAAAGAGGGCGCTCGCCCGGGCCGAGAAGCGTCCGAGCAGGAAGAGTTCGATGGTCATCGTCGACGAGCACCCTGTTGGCTCAATCCGAGACTGCCAAGCATCCCTGTCCTCCGACGGCCTCGGCCTGCCCTCCCTGACGGCCCTCTTTCGGCTCGGCCTCCGCCAACTCCGTCGAGACTCCCGACGGCTCTTTAATAGCTTCCTCTCCCGCCTCGTCCACACCCCCCGCCCGCCCATCTTCTTCACTCCTCATCCCCCATCATCACGCGACAACAACGGAGGTCAGATCCAGAGTAGAACAACGTCTCGAAAACCGGCGTCAGCTAAGCTTCCGGACCGACCGTCTACCTCGATCCATCCTCTTCCTCATCCATCTAATAAACCTATCCTCCATCCCCTCACTCCTCCTCCCTCTCCTCCCTCGCCCACTACTTGGCTGATCATCGGCTTCCTCACGGCGACTACTGCAGCTACTTTAACCGTCTGGTGGAAACAAACTCTGTTGGTTTAATCTCTCGCTCTTATCGCTCTTTCTCTCTTTCTTCCTCTTGATCTTTCCATATCGTTCCTTGTCCCTCGGTATCAACCTTCTCGCCTTGTATTGTTATCTTCAGTTGTTTGTGTAGTCCTTTTTTCTTCTCTCTTTTTCGTTGTAGTTTTTTTCCCTCTTAAATCGTGTATGTAAAATATCATACAAAATCAGCTCCTCGATTTGCCTTTCTTCATTTTTCATTTTCTTTTCTTTATATCTCCTTTCTCTCTCTCTCCCTATCTTTCCTCAATCTGCTACATTTTTTTAGTTCTAGTTCTAGTTTTAGTTTTACAATTAAATACAAAATCAATGTACTGCATATCACTCCAAAAGTCTCTCTCTCTCTTTATCTCTTTTCCCTGGCCCCATATAATTTGTGATGTATTACATTTGAGCATGTATTGTAATTTTTCCTTATGTAATGATTATGAAGAGTAGAAAACCAAAGAGCTTTTTATGCCATCTTACATCTCTATCCACAAAACTCAAACTCATAATCCTTGTCATTTCCAACATCGATTTTTGGCTTGACAAATAGACAGAAAGAAAAAAAAGAGCTTCGGGTGGCCTGTTGTGCACTTCTATCCAAAAGAACTAATAAGATGTGTCATCTTCAAAGATTCAGTTTTGGGCTTACATAGCAAATGGTTTGAAATCAGTCGGCACTTGCAATCCAATCAAGTCATAAAACTCATGTGGTATGCAAGTTGGAGTGGTTGGAGCCATGTTTTAAGAATATGCGAGTCAGAGAAACCAATCATGTCTGATTGATTGGTGCAGGTTAACCGTTAGGAGGACAATTCAGTGGAAAGCGAGATTGATAAGATTTAATTCTGAGTGTGATTCTCCTTCAATGAACAAAATACATAAAAACCCTTTCTGGGTTTATTCTTTTCATGCAAGTCTCGTTATAACTTATAAGCTTTATTGTTGGGCCGATCTTGACGTGGTACATAAATAGTTTCTAGACATGCTCAAGTATAACCTGCATGTTGAGAACTAAAGTTCCATGATTGGCTTGATTTTAGCTCTTGTTTGAGATGGCTCTAGTTTAGTCTTAGGGTGGAATTTTCTAGATATTTGATTTGGTCTTCAGGATCTCATTCTTGAACTTGACACGACTTCATGACATACATGAGTAAAGCAGCTGTGGTTGCCCTGATCCCAATGTCATAGGATGGCTTAGAGGAGCGTTGCAGGGGCAAAATCTCAGTCAAATTATTTGGCATAGTTGTGCATTGAGGTGACTGTGTGTCTGCACAGCCATGCACCCAGAATCAGCATGTGCCATTGCAAGCTATGTGTGTATGTACATAGTTTGGTTGGGCGAGGAAATGGCCCGTCTGGAGATTTGTGTGCCGACAATCCAAGAAGGAACCCTCAAGCCAGAGGAAATCAACTTGAAAATCTGATCCCTTACGCGAAGAAACTCCCTCCATGGGCAAACCACCGAAAGCCACAAAGAGTTCTCTCGAACATCTGTCTGCCGTGCTTCCTCATTTTTGTTTGTTTCTTTTCTTTGGCCGTTCTCAAGAGGGTGCAGAAATCATATTGTGTGAATATGCCCATCGTTACCCCCATTTCTGCTTTTGTTACGATTTTAGATGTTGACGTTTCTGCTTGAGTTTCCCCTCAAGGGAGCTGGAAGCTGGACATTTTCCATTATGTTACAAAAAGATCTTCCAGGATACCGAAACATTAGCCTTCTGCACGCTTTGGAAGCCCGTTGGATTGAAACCCTGAAGAAGTCACCAAAAGTGAGAGATCAAAAAGTATTCAACTCTCCGAGTCAGATACGCAGAAAACCCTTGAGTCTGCACACCGACGCCGTGAATCTAACTGGAAAATTGGGCATGTGAGCCGGCTTGCGATTTGCACCTCCTTCGTCCATGACGAGGATGAGCAAAAATAGATCTTAGTAACATCAGATGTTGGGTAAACCTCGCCCGACTGTGTGCGTATCAATCCTGAAGGCTTTCCATGGATGTTCATCCAAGATGATTAACCGTATCCTCCACCGCTTATCCTAATCCCGATTTTTGCCCTGATGATGGTGATACACATTTTAGCTACATGCCCACACACACAGTCACTTGAGACTCGTGAATCTGTGAGCAGCACACTTCGATTATATCTACTTCCTTGTCTGGCAAATCGCGATCCGCAATACCATTGGGGTTCGACAGTCAATTTTCAGGAAGGAATAAACATTTAAACTGACCCACCCTCACCACGACGCACTCCTCCCCCGGACCCCCACAGATAATTTTACCAGCCCTCGATTTGAAATCCAATAACAACGCGTGATTTCTCCCTTTGCAGATTTACAACGGGTTTTTTTTTTGACCAGAGAACCGCAGTGTGGTTGAGGTATCCCACATTGGAAACCTTTCTGGAAGCCTAGATTGCCCCACTCTTTTTCGCTCAGCTTCTCCACTCTTAAAATCTTTCCACTCATCACCCCTCATTCCCCCATCCTCGAGGAAAGGCGTCCAAATTTTGACCGTTTACTGATCCCAAGGTTCATGGCGAGCATCACTTCCATTCCTTCGCACCTGAAGTGGCTGGTCCTCTTGGCACCAATGGCTGGGGCAGCCACGGATGTTTCGAGATGCACTTGGACAGTCGCTTGGTCTGGGAACGACAGCCTCCGGGCGGGCCCTCGTGAGATCTGCGAAGGGCTTACGATTGGGCAGGTTGTGGGCGTCAGTTTGGCCATCACAAGTGTGTGACGAGAATATTTCCCTCATCTCCTCGTCATGGCATCTCCTCGTCATGGCTCATCGGGCTAACTTTTCCCTGTCTATATATAGTTGGTTTGCTACTCCTAGCCGGTATCCTCGCGCTTCTCTATCGTTTAAATCGTAACCGAAATCAACTTCAACTCACTCAATTTTCCTCGGCCGCTTGGCCAATCACACGTGCTACGCACCGACCAGTATTCCAACCCCCAGGCACCCCGGCTCCGGAATTTGTCCATGATCTCAAATTCCCTCAAAAGGCCATGTATCACATTTGAACCCGCAGCGATTCCCCGGCGACGTTTAAGCCCAATGATCACGATAACTCTGAATCGGTTCAGCCGGAAACACAATGGAGGGTCGCCAGTTCGCCTCCGCTTGGATTTTTTTGCCAGAAGAACTCACCCTTAGTATTCCCGAAACATGCTCATAAGCTTATGAAATTTGATCTATCTCTCCTACACCACATTAATCTTTGATTGCCGTTGATCTTCTTCCCTCGACATGCTCGAGGAACTATCCCCCAAAATCGTTTGGCCCATCCGGACCCCATGACTCTTGTATCTTGATTGAAAAAATCTGCTTAGTGGCAATCAATTCTCTGTAATCAAATAGATCATCAAAAGTTCTTGCTCAAGGCTCACCAGTCAGTCTTGTTTTCGAAGTGCGCTGTTGTTTTGTTTTGTAGATAAACTCAAGTAGTTTGTTGACCCCCTTTCACATCAGATCTTTAGCAAGTCTTGTTCAGTCAATGTTCTTGTTTATTGTTGCTAAGGCTTTGCGACTCCCCTCAATTATCAGCTTGCTAGAGTTCAATTCCAAGCCGGAGGCTGGCAGATCCACAATGTGAATGTGAGTAGAAGACCTAATCATATCAACAAATTAAACCAGAAGGTTTGGTTTTTGATGCTCCCAAACCTTCTAGGGGAATGGGCAGCCAGGAGGCTTCCTCTTGGCTGCTGGGAACTTTACAAGTCTCAGCAACCAGGAGGAATCCTCTCAGCCATTGAAACTGTACAGTCTCAATGGCCAAGAGGAATGCTCAGGCCATTAAGATTGTACACTCTTGATTTCCAGGAGTATCCCTCTTCCATGATTGGAGTGCACACTCTCAATGGCCAGGAGAAATTTTGAGATTTGGAGGCTCCTGCCAACATCCATTCCTCCAGAAATTTAGTTCTGAAGCATCAACTCCCAAACTTTCCTTTTTTCTTTCAAACAATATCAACAAAAATTAGGGAACCAACTCCCATTCCCACTGTGGGAAAGGGAGGATCAACTCCCATAAACCCAGGGTACCAAGAGATATGCTGAGGCAGTCCTCATGTGGTCCTCTTGACATCTCCCAACTTCAGGAGTCAATCCTCCCAAATCTGGGATTCAATCCTTCCAAATTTGGTAGCAAATAAAACAAGAATTTGAACATGTTTGAAATTCAAAAAGAGGGAATGTCAAAAATAAAGCCTACCTTTTTCCATACAAAATAAAACAAGCAGGTCATGCTGGATCTGAGTTCAAACACAATGGATATCAAAGGTGAAAATCAATCCTTGGTGGGTTTTGTTGACACTCAAAACTCAGCAGATCACAAAACGCTCCTAACAATTGGGTGCAAATACTAGACTTTAGTTATGAAAAAAATGATCAATTTATTTTGTAGAGAAAAAGGAAGATTACAATTTTTAGATTGAGTCAAAGATGGTAACTACTACAAAATTTAACTAAGACAGTGTAAAACTAAATTAAAACATAATTTGTTCTATTGCAAACAATAATCAGGTATACAACACTATTCATTTTTGGTAAGAAACAAAAAAAGATGGAAGGAGGAAATCTCCCAGGCCTTGGGATGCCTCTTAGTCATGGACTCTTCCCCCCCCCCCCCCCAAACCTCCATCTGGCTTTGGAGGAAAAACTCCCTGGTGAAATTCTTACTCATTCCTTCTCTTTTTCCTCATGACTCCTTCATCTTACAAAAAATTGTTTACTTCTAATCATCTTGAATTCCAAAATTATAGTATGCAATCCAATCTGATTTGTATGTCAAGTGCACCCCTTTGTAGTCACTGAACCCTAGGGAGTAGCCCTTTATCAACACTCTTATTTGGAACTTATCTATTCAATGTTGATTATTTCTTATTAAATCTTCATTATTAAAACCACAACTTGATCATCTTGTACGTAGACTACTTAAACCTAGCCAGTTACAAGAAATCAAATCTCAACGGTTCTTACCTTCTTTTTTCAACAAAATTGAACTACTCAAGTGAGAATCCTCTTCATCACTGTCCACATCTCTCCCTCCTCAGTTTTCCTTGTCAGTCAGAAGCATTCACTCCCAAGACACAGGGGTCTGGGCGATATCTTCCAAGGTTTGAGAGTCAGAACTCCACACCTGGGAGTTGTTTGGCCAAGCCCCATTTCCAATTAGCTTCTAGTTCAGAAAGTTAACTGCAGTCTGCTAATCGTCAACCCTATAAACCATAACCAGCAACAGGAAATATGTTTGAATGATAATAAACCAAGCCTAGTACTAGTAGCTAGAAATTTATTCTATTCATATTCAAGTCAATGCAATAAATCACCTTGAGGTGGAAAACTAAATGGAGGTTGAAGAAGGCAAAGAGCTTGGACAAAACTCAAGACAAAGATAGGCACAAACATGATACATAGTTGTGGGGGGTACCAAACAGTGCTTTGGCCACAAACAAAGGGATTTAGTTGACAAAATATTTTGGGACAAACTACGAGAAGAGTCATGAAATTTGAGTCCCCATCTTCTCAATTAGAATAGACATAGATAGCATCATCTGGCATGAAATTATCAGATTTCATGTTCCAGATCAGATTGAGCGCACTGCCATATGTTGTCTCATCACCCGATTTAGATTGAGAGCCGAAGTCCTAGTATTAGTAATAAATGCTCGTAAGTTTCTCGGTGATGTAAGCATTAGAGATCCAAAAGAAATTATTGGCCGCAAGATTGAATTGAGAAATCCAAAGTTGAATCCATTGCTGAGAATATTGATAAGCTTCTCGGTCGAAGTTGTGATTTGGGGAGGCAAAGATTTGATTTAACAAGTCCTTGATCTTCTTGAACGCGGTCTCCAAGTCGTCTATCGCAAGAGTAAGTTTTACGAAATCAGGCCGTCGCGTATGATCAAGTCTAAGATTTTGCACGATTTGCTCTAACTCATATTCCAGTGTGCTTGTTGCAACTGGTAAGGCTTCTAGCTCTCTAAAGTTCGTTTCCGGGATCAACCCAGGTTTGATGTGCGGGAATTTGCAAATCTTCAACACAAGAACTCGGTGTAATTTGTAAAGTGTAACTAAGCCTTCGATTTGTTTCCTGACGAGCGATTTTTCAGGATTGCGTTTGATTTGGGATGAGTTGCCAAGTATGATAAGACTGGTCAAGGGACAATCCAGATTTCTCAGCCTTTCCCTGAAGCTCCATTCACGGAGGAATACGACGAAATCTGATTGGCCGAGTGATTCGATGAGAAAATTTACTACCCCCAAATCTAGAACGGCCAGATGCACTAAGGAATCGTTGGTACTTGAAGTCTGCAATTTTGGATTGTCTGAGACAAAGAAATGAGAGATGAAGCCTTCGAAGCGCCCAAGTACATCGGACACAATACCTAGTATGCCTTGAGAACTATGCACTAGACGATGGCGTCTGAACGGTGTCAAGGTCTCCACATTCACTTGGGAATCCGCCGGGCTTGGCGAGTCCCAAATCGAGGCAACGGATACGCTTATCTGATCCATGCAGTTATCGATTTCGGAGAGAATTTCAAGACCTTCTCGGAACCGTCGGTTGGAATCTAGATGCAAACTGACTGGATTGAGACACTTCAGAAGTTCATGCACATGATGATGCAACAGAGGTAGCTGCTTCATTCTGAGTATCCAACAGACACTGCTTCGCACTTCCCACTCGATCTTGAAATCGTTATTCTTGAGAGACGTAATAGAGCGAACCAAGGCTCGATTTTTCTTTCTACCTTTTGATTTCAAGGTTTTCAAAGCTTGAACAAGTCGATCTAGTACGCGTTCGTTCACCGGCACCCCGACCACGGTTGAAATACAAATGAGTTTAACTATCAGTGGCTGACTCTATGAGAAATTTTGATTGAGAAGCTGATCGACGGGGGCAAGCTGCTCGTATAGACTCACCTTGGGCTGTTTGCCCGGCATCAAGTCCCTGATCGCAGGCTTGGGTCAAACTTGCAAGCAATTCGAATTCTGGATCAATCATTGTGAAACGGAAGTATTCTTCGAGGATTCTGGAGCTGGTTGCAAGTGTCTCCAAGCTGATATTAAGCGTGTAAGGCTCACAGAAAAGGTTGTTTTTGTCAGACTTTCTTTTTTTTTCTGGCCCCGCCCCGGTGAAACTATCCGCACCGGAAAGTTGTATCGATTACGCGACTTAGGACAGTCACATTGGTGCCGCTACTGTGGCGCTTTTCTAGACGAAAGGTTTACTAGTTTTCAACTAACAAAAGGATTATTCCCGGATCGATTTTAGCAAAATGTAAGAATCTAAGAAGGCTTAGCTTTGAACCTCAAGGTTTCCAAATCTAGCGAGGATTGGTGAGAAGCTTATCATGGTGCAAACTTGGCAATCTTTAGCCAACTTGGCACTGCAGACTAATAAAATTTGCCGCACCAATGTGGATGTTATTAGAGCATCATCATTCGTTTGTTAAATTTCGAGGTTAAGGAACAGTACCCAGAGATATCGCAACGTCGAAAGACGTCTGTCGTGCCCAGACCCCGCTGGACGTTCAAGGGGTGATGAGGTTGTGAAGATGATTGTAGAACCCTCGCCCAACGCACAGGGACGTTGCCCAGCATTTTTGAACGGAACATTTGATTGTAATGTAGGCAACTTTAGATTAGCGGGCGGGTATGCCCACACTGCGTCGGAGTCCGACCCAGTTGACTAACCTCAAAGTCACGGTGCGGAATAAACTTTAGAGCATTTGCGTTCGTTGGCAACGGATTTTCGGGTTCTAGCCTTAGGATGGCGGGCCAATCAGCTAAGCCCATGGGGTAACCATAGTGGGTAGACTTCGTCCAATATCCTGAGAGTGAAGAGTGCGGTACGAAATGTGCTTAACCTACCAGGCTGAGCAGTCGCCGAATTTAGCGGGCATTTGTAGCCCGAAATCTAGCTTTTGGTTAGTTGACCTGAGATTAGCCCGGGTGAGGCGGTCACCAGTTGAGCTCGAGTCGCCGAAACCCGTCGAATGCGAATGGGCTTGCGGTGTTGCCATAAACGTATCAAACCTTAACCTCCAATCAACTTTCACAAGTGCAGATTTGCCAATCTGGCATTGACCTGAGGCCAAGGTGTTTATCGCGTTTGTCGTTCGGGTTAAGTCACCAACCCGGCACCTTCAACTCAGCAAAGGTAACTGCTCTTATAACAAGTCTGAAAAAAATCCGACCCGGGAAATTGGTTCCGGTATCACACCACTTGGCCAGCAGAGAGCTGCACTCATCTGCTTGCAATGCGAAGATAAAACAAAGCTGCCTGGCAGTGTCCTCTTAGATGCATGATGTGAGTTGATGAGATTATGAAGCGTGATAAGGAATCACACTGGAACGACTCAATACTTGAAATGCATCTGCCAGTACTTCTTGAACGGCAGATTGACAATTAAAACGGCACTCTGGGAGTGTTAATGATTTTTTTTATTTTATTTTATTAATCATAAGGGGCGCAGGAAGACGAAGAGGGGCATGTTTTGCATATTCAGAGGCAGGGGTGAGAGGGAACGATAGGGAGGTTGGGGGGGGCACAGGAGATAAATCATGATTCATTATTTCAGATGGTCTTCGAAACCGAAGCTGCTGATTGACCAGCAGCCTTGGCACGTTTTTGGAGCATAGCAAACGATTTGTTACCCCTGATGATATCACATGAAATGTTGACCAAAGTCAGCGAAAGTTTTAATCACAGATAAGTAAATTCATTGAACTAACCGGATACCACCACCCCAGTGTCGTTTAGCATCCTCGTACTTCTCCAAAAAGTTCACCTTGACAGCGCTGACCAATTTGGCAAGCTCGTTCTTGTCCTCGCTGCGGATGTCAGTGAAAGCGACAACGGCAGCAGTCTTCTTGTGAACAACGGTGCCGAGTCGGGCCTTGTTCTTGACAATGCAGTAAGGCACACCCATCTTTCGGCAAAGGGCAGGGATGAAGACAACCAGCTCGATGGGGTCCACATCATCAGCAATCACAACCAACGAAGCCTTCTTGGCCTCAATTAAAGCGACGATGTGGTTGAGACCGTATTTGACGTAGATAGCTGTCATAATCGGCAAGAATCAATACAATGTTGACTGGGCAAGTGGTTCGGATTGACTTACGCTTCTTGCCAATTGGCTCGCCCTTCTTGGCGTCACCCTTGGCAATGGCTTCGGCTTGGGCGCCGAGACGAGCCTTCTTTTGTTGACGAGACTCGGGTCGGTACTTGTGCATCAAGCGGAAGAGTTGGGTGGCGGTGTTCTTGTCGAGGTGATTGCTGAATTGAGCAATCGAGGGTGGGACCTTCAGACGTTGGTTGAGGATCACCTTTTGACGCTGAAGACGGACGTATTCAGGCCATTTGACGAATCGGGTGAGGTCACGGGTAGGCTGGATATCCTGACCTGCAGAGAGACAGGTAAGGAATTGTGTTAAACGATTTGTGAATAAGATAGCCAGAACGATGAAGGAGGACTTACCAATGCCGAAGTTCTTAGGACGACGTTCAAGGAGTGGGTTCTTAGCACTCTTGCTGTTTCGTCCAGGCTTGGCCGACTGAGCGGCAGCAGGGTTCTTCTTGACAACTTTCTTGACTGGCTGTGATGGGAAGATGGTCGAAGAGGGAGAAAGAGTGAAGGATGGGTGGGGTCATTGAAAGGGAGAGAAGAACAGGTGTATCCAAGTCAGCGACTATCAACAAATAGCACTGGACCAGGCTGTCTAGCTCTGCAACATCTTTCTGACAGGCTTTTGAGTGGGAACCATCATTTCAACAACTTCCGACTCGTATAGACTTCTGCATGGCATCAATCGAACAAGCTTCAGTCGAGATCAGGTTCCCAAGCCTCCCCTTATACGCATGGTGCTCGCAAGCCAACCAAGGTAACGGAAATGGTGAGATGGAGTAGCCGATGCCCGTCCAGCTGGCATCAAGTTCGGGGAGATAGAGGCAATGAATCGTGTGAGGTCCGTACCATCTTGAAGAACTGTCGATCTTGAGGTCGGGTCTTGAGGTGGGGCCGGTACCGTCGTGGCTGGTGGTGATGAAGAAGTCCTTGGCGGGCGGGTGTGAGGGTCGGGGCCGGAATCCAAGCAGCCGGAGTCCGCTCGATCTGATGGCGGTCTCACTAATCTTAACCTAACCCAGATCCATAGTGCCCGGCTGCGGAAGGGAGAGAGCTGCAGAGCCAGACTGGGAGTGTCACAGCACCTACATACCTGTGACATCTGCACTATCCTAATGTAGGGTTCCGATCCGGACCCTGCAGATCCGGCAAGATCCGGAAAACCCGCAAGCCGGATCAGGGCTCGGGATCGACCCGGAGAGATCCGGCATCCGGTCGGATCCTTAAAACCCCCAGAAGTCGGGGATTTGCGGGGATTACCCGCATCAAACCCGCTCGGGGGCCCAGCTGCTGCACCACAGCTCCAACCTTCCCGCCCTAAACCCCTTTTTTTCACAACAGTATGGCAAAAAAAAGCATAAAAAAGTTTACGCTAGAGATCCGGAGAAACCCGGCTCGGTGCCGGATATCCGGGGGGGTCAGGGTGCGGGATGCACAGAATCCGGCTCCGGGGCACCGGGTCGGAACCCTATCCTAATGACACTCATGCAAAACCAGCTCTCGCTCGCAGTTGCCCTTTGGTCCTGAGGCTGGAGGAGACACCATGACGGCCAGATACCTACTTGTGCTGAGTCATTAAAGGTACTATCTGGGACCCAGCTTGCATTCTACTGGCATACAGGATGGGAAACAAGAGATTTCAAGAGTCAAGCATGTAAAAACACCATTTAAAAAAGAAACAGAAAAACCCAAGAGACATGTACAGTGCCACTGGGTGTACCATTAATTCTGGCTGTTTATTTTTCATTTCAAAGCTCCAAAGCACAAACTTGAGGTTGCAAGGCTTGGTCAATTGGTGAAGGATAGGTCCCAAAAGATCAATAAGAGGAAATAAATGCAAAAAAATGGTTTCAAAATTTGTGAAAGATAAGAATTTTTTTTTTCCAAAGCTTTGATATTAGTGGTTTTGAAAGTTGAAGGATGACTGCATAAACATAAGAGCAACTCCACCGCGGGTGGTAATCTTGAGTCGCTAAAACATGATCTTTGGCACTGCACAGCAAGCTTTACAGACTCAAACTGCTGCGGCATACACCGCAAATAGGAAAATGAGTCTGTAAAAATTTATGAATGGCTGTCCCCCGTGAGACAACCCCAACCCCTGCCAAGAAAAAGCCTACCAATTGATCTCTTTATTTTGTGCCATATGGATTGTCTGGCAATTATTTGGAATTTTGTCAACACTCATACCTCAGTTCAGTCAACACAAAATATATCGGCTGTTCTTCAAGGTGAAGCTGCAGCAGCTCAATAAATCCTCCAACAAGAACAGAAAAGACGACAAAGAAAACCACCAAAGCGGAGTGGATCAAGAAAAGGAAGAGCACCTAATCTGTGTCGGTACTTTGAAGGCGGCTACCAGCGATTGTATAAAGATTACTTTGACAATTCAGCCATCTACACTGACTATCAATTTCACCAACGGTTCCGGATTCAACAAGGGCTATTTTTGAAGATTGTTAAAGACATCGAACAGCATGATACGTACTTCGCTCACAAGGCCAACACGTTGGGTAATCTAGGCTTGAGAGTAATTCAAAAGATCACTGCCTCTCCCCGGATCTTGGCGTATGGCGGATCACACGATGCAACCGACAAATACATTTGTATAGGAGAATCCACCGCTTCAAAGAGCCTCTACAAATTCTGTCAATCTGTGATTGAATTATACAGTGCCGAGTATCTTTGATCACCAAACAAAAATGATGTCAAGAGATTGTTGGCTATTGGGAAGGAACGTGGATTTCCCGGCATGCTTGGCTCAATTGATTGCATGCACTGGGAATGGAAAAATTGTCCCACTGCATGGCATGGACAGTAACAAGGCAAAGAAAAGGTTGGTTGATCTCTATTTCTTGAAGTGTTGCTTCCCAGTATTCATCTGATAATTCATTGGAGGACTTCCCGTCGATCTGGAACCCTTGATTTGGGAAGGTCTAATCCTAGATCCCAAACTCAATTTGGTGAAGACAATCAAGTGACATTGACTTCTCATCAGCAAACAGATTTGGAATCTGGCTTTAGGAGGCTAATCTAGGATTCCAGACCGACGGGAAGTCCTCCATTATTCATGTTGAAGGTCCCACAATGTGTTGAAAGCTGTTGCATCCAGATTTATGGATTTGGCATGCCCGGGTCCCACAACAACATCAACATCCTGGAATCTTTGCCTGTTTTCACTAGAGATCGTTCGTTTGTACTTGGGTACCTGTTGAATTTTTTCAAAAAACAGGTACCAAGTACCGCACCAGGCACCTCCTGGTGGGTACCAGCGGTACTTTTGGCGGGTACCGCGGGTACCTCCCCTCTCTTTCTAACCTAGGTTCACTTTCAGATTACCAAGTCACTTTTTTATTATTATTTTTTTCATATTTATTGTAAAATATCACTCCCAAGTCACTTTTTTTCCATTCTTTCATATTTATTGTGAAATGTTGACAACAAATTTGAAGAATCCTACTTTGTTATTATATTTTCATATTTATTGAAAATATCATTCCCAAGTCACTGTTTTTTCTTTTGTGATATTTGTTGTAAGACATCTTAAACTAATTGGAAGAACCTTACTTCATTATTATTATTATTTTCATATTTATTGTAAAATACTACTCAAGTCACTTTTTTGGAATTTTTTCATATTTGTTGTCAAGTGTCTACATCTAATGGGGAGAATCTTGCGTTTTTTTCATATTTATTGTAAAACATCAATCCCAAGTCAATTTTTTCATTTTTTCAGATTTAATATTTTATTTTAAAGCTTAAACTGTCTACAAATTATAACTAATTAGAAGAATCTTCATTGTTATCCAAAACTATCACCTTCCTTTTTGATTTTTGGTTAGACTTCTTGTTATCCTTGAGTCCCTGTTTCCATGTAGCCAAGGTACCTTCTTGGAGTTCTTGGAGTAGAAGGCCACCGTCATTTTGGTAGGGAAGTGAGGGGGTACCTGTTCAATTTTTCGCAAAAATAGGTACCAAGTACCGCACCTGGCACCTCCCGACGGGTGTGAAGGGTACCCCCCAAGCGGTACTAGGTACCTAGCAAAGGGTACCGCGGAACGATCTCTAGTTTTCACCGAATATAAGGTCAATGGAACTAGTTATCACCAAGGATACTACCTTGCTGATGGCATCTACCCAGAATATTCAACCCTCATCAAAACCAGTTCACATCCACAAGGGCTAGAAAGAAAGGTATGTAGATTCATTAACCTTTGATGATATGTCTTACACAAAGCTGACCAATTGCCTGCAGCACTTTGCAAAGATGCAGGAGGCCGCACAAAAGGATGTTGAGCAAGCGTTAGAGGTTCTTCAGGCTCGATTTGCCATAGTAGCTCAACCGGAGCTGACCTGGGGGGTGGAAAAGCTCCATCTGGTCATGAAGACCTGTGTTATCCTCCACAATATGATTGTGGAGGATGAGAGAAACTTAGACATTGATCAAATCTCCAACTCAAACGCACCTGGAGGACACAAATCAGCTTTTGATCTTGAATCAGTTTCCAATCTCATCAATCCCATTCCCCAACGTTGCCGTGATTTCTCATTGTTCATCCAAAATACACAAATGATCCGCAATCCTGACTTGCACTTTGCTCTGTGAAATGATTTGATAGCCCATCTGTGGAAGCGCAAAGGAAAAGAAATCGATATGAATGAAATATAATCCTATCATTTCCTATATTTATAAGTATGTTGGTCAGACTGATTTTGACTCAGGTCATCTTCTCATTGCATGCAAGCAATGAAAAAATAAAAGAAAAATAAGAATCAAAATAAAATAGATAATGAGAATCAAAATAAAATGAAATTGTAAGAACAAAAGTCAGTCAGACAGAGTATGACTATAACATTCTTTTCATTGAATGGAAGTTTTTTTTGATGACATGGTTTTATCATTTGATGAGAGACCAGAAATTTGGGCAATTAGCAAGAGACAGAAGAGTAAAAATAGGAGTTGGGCATCCTTCAGTAGAGTATAAAACATAAGGAAGATTGAAATAAAAAAAATCAATTTCCAACCGGCGCAGAAGTTGATTCCAAGACAGGAGCTGAAGCAGGAGTAGATCCCAAAGCTAATGCTGCAGCCGGAGTTGATTTGGAAGTTGGAGCTGCCATTTCTTCTTTGAGTCGAGCTAAGATTTTTTTCTTTGAAGCATGTAGTACTTTTTCACATCATCATTGGCCCCAGTGAGGTCTTTATTCATGACTGCCTCATCCGGAAGGCGTTCAAGGGCAGAGTGCTGAGCATGCATTGCCTTTGCTAGTGAGGTTTGTTGTTTTTTTGCAACCTCGGCAATGTCAATGTGAGCAGTGGCCATCTTCTTGAGGTGTTCGTGGTTGGATGCATCTAGTTTCTCCTCTTGATAAGCTAACTTTGCCTTCTTTCGACCCATCAGACGGGTTGGTTCCCCATGCACACTCTCATCACCAGAGGCATCGGAAGTCAAATGAACAGTCTCAGCAGTGGTTGAGTTGGGCAAAGAAGAAGGCAAAGGACTTGAGGGGTTCACATTTGTCAATTTCTTGGACATCACAGCATTGTAATCTTGCCACTTCGGAGCTTTTGAGATTAGATCATAGCAGCACAGGTAGAGTTTTGTCCCCTGTATTCTTCGGTCCCAAACCGAAGATGAATGTGGTAGCATCCTCGGTTTGGAACCGTATTTCAAGGTGAGCTGGGTGAGATGGGTGAGCTGGGTAAAAAAAACAGTAAAAACACTTTTTGCCCAATTTTTATAAAAAAAAACAGCCCTAACCTCCCTAACCCTAAACCTAAACCCTAAACCCTAAACCCTAAACCTAAACCCTAAACCCTAAACCCTAAACCTAAACCCTAAACCCTAACCCTAAACCCTAACCTAAACCCTAAACCTAAACCCTAAACCCTAACCCTAAACCCTAAACCTAAACCCTAAACCCTAACCTAAACCCTAAACTCTAACCCTAAACCCTAACCCTAAACCTAAACCCTAAACCTAAACCCTAAACCTAAACCCTAAACCTAAACCCTAAACCTAAACCCTAACCCTAAATCCTAACCCTAAACCCTAACCCTAACCCCTAACCCCCCATTGAAGCAGGGGCCATTGGATTCCCGACTACTACGCCAGGTCCCCGATGGCCCCACAATACCCAGACAGATGAACAACTCCGCTCGAACCTGTCCGGGTACAGCGCCTCTTCGGGGGGTGAACCCTAACCCCCGAACCCCAACCCCGAACCCCCGAAACCCCCTACCCCCTAACCCCCTAACCCCCTAACCCCCTAACCCCAAAAACCTACCCCCTAACCCCCATCGGGGGATGGGGCCAGTGGGAATTGAACCCACGACCTGCTGGGTGGTCAGATCTTAGGGCCAGTGCAAACCACTGAGCTACAGAGACTTTGTCTCTGCCTTTGTTTTTGGAAATCTAGTCAGCTGGGGGACCCAGCTCAGGCAGCTCACCCATCTCTGGCTCCCCTTCGGTTCCAAACCGAAGATAATGGCACCATTTTCTTCGGTTTGGAACCGAAGAATTCAAGTGGCACAGGTGGTATATCAGGGGTGTTTGACTGATTGGATGGAGGGAGTTTCACAGTGTTGCCAGCATGTTGTGGTAAATAATACTGTGTTTCTACGCAGAAAATATAAAAATTTATTATTATCTCTTTATATATTATATATATGGCAAAAATAACATCAGAAATGGAGTTCTCAGGTAAAATTACCCCTAGTCACTCACTACAACTGACCCCATATCTCTCATAGTTTAGAAGTTACACAGATTTCAACCTATCACGGGATATCTTTTGGGCTCTTTACTCTCAGTATGGATTGTTTTGAATGCTGGATGCATATTGAATATTGAATTCCTTTGTGTTGTATTGAATTCCTTTATTGGCACATAGTGCATATTGAATTCCTTTGTAGGTGCACATGCATTCCTTTGTAGTAGGACCTTGTAGGCTAGCCAAAATCCCTCAAGGCAGTGCTCTCACCAGCCAAATTCCCTCACCTGCATGTACTAGACTAGCTAAAATCCCTCATTGGATCTTCAGGCCAGCTAAAATGCTTCAACAGCCTGTACCCTGGGGCTAAAATCCCTCACATTTGTCTATATAAGGAGGCCTCTGCCTGCCAGTTGTTGCCGCCCATGATCCCACCAGAGGACCAGATCATCTCAACCCACATTACAGATTATATACAAGTGACAGCCATAACACTACATTATATTGAAATACAACCATAACAATTTCATCATCATAACAAGTGCCAAGTGCCCAAAACCTGCCTCACATACCATTACTGGTTGAAGCATTGCGCTCCCAGAGCTCCGTGCCTTGGTTTTATAGCTTTGAACAACAGCTTCATCAATATAATCATCACTCATTTATAACTTCAGACCCTTATACACATCACTCGGAAGCTTCATCTTGAACTATCCTCTATCACAATAAATATAACTGCCAAGCTAAGCTTGGTGGTCTTGTTGTTCTGATAGCATAGAAGGGCATAGCTTGCAACTCCACCATCCCCTTCTCCATTCAGCAAAAGGGTTTTACAACCACTTTTGAGTCTTATAACGTGACAGTGTATTTTGCTGAGGATGGAGAGTCGCTAGGAGTCCCTAAATTTAGGGACTCAAGCAAGAAATTTAGCAACACTGTAGATTTGAGACACATTTATCAGCCACAGTGGGTCGTGTTGGGTCGGTGTGAGAACTCCTTTGGGATGGATGGCAGTCCTGCGAGGGGGAAATAACAAATATGATATTGGACTTTGTTTGATATATATTGTTACGGGTGGTTTGAAAGACCTGCCCCTCTAATGTACTACACAAGAATTCTGACAACAAATTTATTTAATTGTTGTGGCAAAACCTATGATAGAGAAAAACTTTATGTAGTAGTCTCTATCAGACCTAGATCAACTGATATGGAGGACATGCAATAACACAAGCTACTCAAAGAACCTGATTAAGATCACAGGTGTTGGTGAAGGGGGGGGGGGATGAACACCAGCTGGCCAGGCTGTGTGATGAGGGGGGGGGATCAAACTTGGGGGATGACGGGCCTCCTTATATAGTGAATTGTGAGGTATTTTGGCTAGTGGGGAAGTCCTATGAGTGATTTATGCTGGTGTGACTTCTCCTTTGAGGGATATTTGCTGCTTGGAAACTTCTATTGAGGGGTTTTTGCTGCATGGAAACTTCTATTGAGCCATTTTTGCTAGTGTGGTGTGAAAATACGTGTGATCCAAGCGTGTGGCTGGTGATGTCGTGTGAAATACGTGTGATCCCAGCATGTGATCGTGCATGTGACTAAACATGTGATCATACATATGCCTGTACAAACAAAGATTGCAATTATGCACTTATATATAAATCTATACTATGTACTACCCAGGACAACTATACTATGCTGTAATAACAAAACTGATTTATCCAAATAACTTTTGACTGAGTGGAGCTAGCCTAGTGGTTCCAGTGAGTGACTATGGGTTAAATGACCTGTAGAATCTATTTAAGTAATAATAACACCAGGAATCTAGCCTATTATCAAGAGTGGATCATGACTTTATGCAATTTGGTACTTGAAACACATTTGGCACACTAAATCGGTAAATTCCATTTAGGGACCCAATTTACCGTCCACAGTGGAGTTGCTCTAAATACATAAACAACTATTGGCTGGGAGCATCTTACACAATCACAACCAATATCATTTATGGTTTTATTTTTATACAATTATACAGTCAACTTTGAAAACCACTATTCATTTAAAATTTTGGGGGAGTGGGAGTGCTGAGAGAAAGGAAGAATGATTATAAATGAAAAAATGGAACCAAAAAAGGGTGAGCCAGGTTGGTTATTTAGATTCACAGCAAAAGGGGTTGTAACAGTTACAACTGCCTGAGGCAAGGTTGACCGGAGGCACCCAATATAACATTGGTCTTCTGGACCTATTTTATATTGGTTGGGCCCACCAATACATTAAAACAAAGGATAATAGGGGGTATCAAATATAGGAAATCCACCATCAGAAACCAGTCACTTTTCCAAAAACCTTTTTTTGAATAAATGGGCCTCAAAAGGGGTTAAATGGATAATAACCAACATGTTTAAAACCTTACCACAGGGGGGGGGGGGTTGTATACAACACAACCCCTTTGGCAGTGATTGGAGTCAAAAAAAGTTCTAGTGCTTTGCTAAAATGTGGGCTGGTGAATGCCCCACTCAGCAGCTGTTTAAAATCATCTGGTCACCATTTTTTGAAGGCCACCTGAGAACTGGACAATCAAATCTTGATCAGCTAACAAGATTCAGATTTAGAGAGGCTAACTTGACACTCTGGTCTGGTTGTTGGTGCCAGAAGTAGGTGCATGCCAAAGTGTGTCTGCCCTGCACCCCCTCACCCAGGCGCTCTCTTTTTCCCAAGAAAAAAAGGGGGGGGTGCACACCCAGGGAATCTTCCACAGCTTAGAGCACTTGAGAACTGTGTTTTTGATGCCCTCGGAAATTTTACTGTTCATCCAAGCATTGTCAGTGACAAGAGGAATGTGAGTGAACTTCAAGGACTCAACCACCAGAGTCAAGAGATTGAGCACCTCAATTGCAATTCTTGCCTCCAGCGTACTTCCTAGCTCCTATTTATCTGCCCATCATAAATCTGACTGGTCCTTACAACAGTTACTTTGAGAGAATATACATTCATGGACAGAATGTTCAACTTGACTTGATGCAGTTTGACAAAATGATCAACATTGATACAATTTAATACTGTTGAATTTTTGGGCTCGAGACAGGCAAATGTTTGAGAAATTTGAGGAAATGGCACAAAAAAGCAGAGGGCCTTTTCTGGGAAAGGTTCACGGAAAAAGAATGAAAGAACCAATAATTTTCATTCACAAGTAGATAGCCAGATCAAATAGACTAAATACATGTGATCAAACTGTGGTTGAGTCAAATTGAATAAAAAAGGAATATTGAATAAAAACTAAGACACAGAATAATTTGAAGTCTTGGAAGAAACAATCTTAGCCGTACTTCTCAGTCTCTTTTAGTCAGACAAGAAACGTTAATCAAGAAAAATCAGAAATTCTACCACAAATATTTAGAGGCATTAATTCTAAAGAATTAGCTTTTAAGAATCAAATAATGAAAATAGAAAAAGAAAGAAGCCAATCATTAAGACAAGAGTTGTTGATAAATTGCTATTGGGAGTTCTAATTAGACTACTAAGATCCATAAGATTCAACAAAAAACCAGCTATGAAAAACTAGAATTCAGTCTATTTCAAGATGATTCAAGAAAGGAAAAAGGAGAAAAAAAATTAAAGGAAAGAGGGACTGATTTTGGGGAAGAGTGGGCAGAAGAGGTGAAACCTCAACAAATGCAATGGATGTGATGAATCCAGCTGGGATCCACAAGAACTCTGGGTCTCTTGATTCAATCCCCACTTCTTATTTTAAGGGGCTTGGAAAAACGACTCCTAAAAATTAGTCGACGACTCCCGTTTTGGTCGGGGGGTCGTCGGACGGGAGTCGTTCTTCCAATTCCCCCCAAAAAAAGGGGAGTCGTCGTCCTAATTTCAATGGTGATTTTTTATTTTTTTTTTATTAAAAAAATGGGAGTCGCCCGCCTAAAGGGCGGGAGTCGTCGTACCA